TATAAATATATAGCACTTGCTTTTTAAACAATTAATGCATGCATAAAATAAATTTAATTTCAATAAAGTTTTTTTTTTTTAATTTTTTTTTTGTAATGTATTTTACCTGCATTCAAGCTGTTGACCCAAATTTCCATTTCATTTCGCTTTTGTTTTGTTTTTTGCTTTTTGTTGTTACTGAGAATTCTTTTTATTGACTGGTTTCTCGTTTGTTGTTGTTGTTGCTGTTGCTGTTATTGATTTCTGGCAAACAGGAAGCAAAATGTCGTCTACACACACACACACATATGTAGCCATATCTATATATATCTATAACTTGATGCCAATTAAAGCTGCGCTTGCACTAATTCGCCTTAAATTGCAAATCTTTTCACTCTTCGCTCGCCGCATACCACAAACTGACATATGTTGCGTGTCTGTTGCTGTTTGTTGTTGTTTGTCGACTGTGCTGCTTGTGCGGCTTGTGTAGCTAAAGGCGTTGCTCTGATTTGCCATAGAAATCAAAACTATCCTGTGCAAATTCGCTGCCATTGGCCACAATGCGTCTGTCATTGTCAACGAGCAGCAGACGGCTGCAGCAGCACATGCCTTTGAATACCCTGTACACATGTGTCGTAGGCTATATTGGTTGAAAGTTTGGCTATTGAAGTAGAAGATTTAAAGTTATTAAAATAAATGTTTACAATTTGTTACCTAAAATTACGGAAGTGCTGGCAATCAGATTGTTTGTTCTATAAGAAAAGATGGAAGAAAGCTTTACTGATTATATAAAGAATATTTTTTATAGAAGTACATATCTCTCAAGTTCTTTCTCTCTTTTACACTATCATTCGCAGTCAATTTTTGTACGTTTCTTTCGTTCCATCTATCTGTTTCTACAAGGCGTATATATTTTTTCTCTTTTTTACTCTCTTATTATATATTATATTATTTTTGTATTATATATATATAATTATTAATCTCAATCTGTGCTCATCTCTTTCTGTAAATCTATTTGTCTCTATTTCTCTCTATCTATCTATCTATCTAGATCTAGATCTAGCTCTCTCTCTTTCTCTCTCTCTCTCTCTATCTATCTATCTATCTCCCACTAACTATCGCATCTCTCTCTCTCTTCAACTCTTCATCTAGGGTATCTCTACAGCCTCAACAGCTCGCCTCTGTCAACACTCTTACTTCTCATTGTTGTCATTCATAGGCAGAGAGATGAAGAGAGATTCAGAGGCAGTTGTTATCTCGCTGACATTCTTGGAGTGGTGCTATCAAAACGCTGCCCAACATTGGATGCCATAGCAATTGTAACTGATTCTGACCCAATTTCTCTTTCAGGCTCAAGTGCCTCAAATTGCAGTTGCACCTGCCTGGCTTACCTGCAGCACTCGCCATTGCTAATTACACACGGCAGCAGAAATTTGTTTGAACAGGCCAACGACACGCCCCTCCTGTTAACTGTGCCGCGTCAGCTATTCTTCTTTTTGCTCATTTGCATGCAAAATTAGTGAGCAACTTTTTGCTTCTTCTTCTGCTTTTTTTGGGGGAGTGAAACTTAGACGAAATACCCTTGCAGCTGCTGCAACAAAATCATTTTTTAGTGGCAACCTCAAACGGAATCACGTTTGGTGTGTGTGTGTGTGTGTGTGTGTGGCATAGAACCTGTTGGCCTCGCACTCTTGACAGCCGCTGGGAAAGTGCATTAGAATCAAATATTGGCCAGATCAGCATGTCTAACGGCTCGGCGGCTCAATCCTGTGCAACCGGCTGCTGCTGCATTGCATCATCTATAGATTTGAAATGCGAGCATCATGCGAAGCCATGCAAACGGGTAAAAGTGCGTCGAGAAATTGCTGATAAAGAATGAGAGAGAGTGAGCGAGAGCGAGGGGGGGGAGGTAGGTAGAGAGGCAGAGGGATGCAGCTTCTTCTCCAGCTGCTGGAAAAAGTGTTCCATTTTGCACACGCTTATGCTTCTTAGAGTGAAATTTCTCAGCAGGTTTTGGCAATGCCTTAGAATGATATACGAGTACAGTGATAACTATGTGGATGAACAGTCTGTAGAGATCTTGATGCCGACATTTTGTGCATCTTGTTGTTATAGAAGTAATAATTTAGCTCTTGCCAGTTGCTGTCTTGGAAGCAAGTAAAGATTGCTCTTTATACTCATAAAAAATAAGGAGACGACGAATTGAGCTGATATAGGAGAGTCTATTTGCATGTGTGTGTCTTTCTGTGTCCTTTTCTTTATCATTTCGTTAGTGTTCCTTGCCTTTCTGTCTGTTCTCTAGTCCGACCATCTCAGCTTTCATTCGCTTTCCCGCTTTTCTATCCGTACTTCTCCCCATCCTTCTGTCTGTCCTCTTCTCTATCGTCTATCCGTTTGTCCTTTCATCTGTCGACCTGTATTTAGGTATAAACACGTTGATTCCAGAACCTAGATGAGCTAGAAACTCTAGATCTCTTGTCTTTTCATTGCCATGTAATCGATTATGAACATTACTAAATCATATCTCTTACGTGTTTGCAGTTGCTGATTAAAAGAGAAGCTTCCACTTGCAGCAAAGCTAATCTATAGCTGAGACTGGTATCCCAGGCATTCGCTCATATTGAGCGTAGAGTTTCAGCTTTCACTGCAATGCAGCAAGAAATAGAATTCACATGTGCCAAAGACTCAATTGTTTTGCTAGTAATCAGAATCGGTTGTTAACGGTGCTTAAATGTTGGCCAGAATGGCTCGAGTTTGAGTTTGAGCTCGGGCTCGGGCTTTCAGCTTTCCCGAAAACACAAAGAAAAACTAGATTTATGTGTCTCTCGGCCAGTTCGACTCTTCGACAGGCAATCAGGCAAACCAGTTGCCAATTGTTGCTTGTGGCTGCGCCATTTCGATGCGAATGAGGAGAATGTTTGATGCGATTTCAGCTGCGGTTATATAACAGTTAGATCATATTCATATGGCTGCTAAGCGCGCCAAGTTGTTGTCGGAGTCTTGCGTCTATTCTCTTGAAGCCAGTTCGTTGTCTAAGTCTTTCGTTTTCTTTCTCCGCATCTATTCCCATGATTACGCAGCATGCGTGTACATCGGCATTCGCAGTCGGAGCAGCAGCTATTAGCGCTGCTAATCTGCCTTTGGACAGCTGCGGCTGCAGCTATGCACGGCCTGAATGACGGCGCAGCAGCGACGCCAGCCACCGCCGCCCAGCTAGCGGATGCTGAGGCTCAGCCACAAATGGATTCAGATGCGAGTGAGGCGCACATACGCAAAAAGCGTCTCGTTTGGATTACGGATGACGGCCGCTTGGCTCTGCCGCCCGGCACCTCATTGACATTCACGCCGACGATTGCGATGCCTATGGTCAGACATCCGCCTGAAGGCTTCTTCTCCAACCTGAGCATCAGTTTTCCCGTCACAAGTGAGTTGTTGCTCGAAAAGTTGTTCACTGAGCAGCTGCTTAAGCTCAAAGTTGTCGAAAATCACTTTCAGTTGACTTTGACAAGCTCGGCCTGACGGACAATCAAAATCCGCTCGGGGATCTGCCCTTCTTCGCGCGCTCCTTTGGCCACGGCGCTGGCCAGCTGGTTGGCGAGTACGTCGCCCGCTACCTCCACGTGCAGCGCCGCAAGCGGGATCTCAGCGCCCAGCAGAGCAGCTCGCCCTACAGAGTGGAGGACACGCTCCAGTACCCGCAGCTGCCGGCGGGCTTCCAGCACATCTTCCATGGCGGCGAGCGGGTGCTGCTCTACGGCGTCGTCGAGGACTTCTTGGCCACCTTCGGCATGGACGGCAAGGCGTGCATGCTGCGCACCATCTGCGAGATGCACTCACGCAGTCTCGACAAGTTTGGCGTCTTTGGCGAGATGACCAAACTGTTCCTAACGTAAGTAACGCACCCCAAACAGGCATAAACCAGGCCCACAACTTTCGAGCCAGAGACGAACTGAATAGAGAAAAATTCGCTGACCGATTAGGCTTTTTATACGTGCAGCAGGCAGGCCGCATAATAAAAATCACGAATTGCCTTAAGGCTCAAAAGCAATTTGAGCAGCGTTTAGGACTTGCTTTGTATTTCAATTTGATAGATTTTTAGCTATAGTTCTACAGCAGTTTTAAAGCCAACTTGACTACAATGCCAGCACCTCTAGCTGCATACAGTTTGAAAGTAACTGTCTGTGCATTAGTGTAGAGAAGTTAAGCTACCAATATCTTTAATATTCTCCTCAAGGCTAGAGTCAAGAATTCAGCTTCATTTTTGGTGGGCTTTTTCAAATATTTTCTTTACAGTTTTACAGTAACTGCGTGCTCAGCATAGTTTTAGAGGCACTAAGCAAAAATGATGCAAGACTATCAAAAGTTTTGCTGCAATAGTTTGAGAGTTACTGCTTAGTGCAGTTTTAAGCTCACCATGAAGAGTTTAGCATACAAATCCACTTGTAGCTCTCAGTAGACTCTGTGCAGAAGAGGGCTGATTAATGAATTTATAATAAAAGATGACTATAAATATAGTGATAGCTTAATAGATTACCCTCATACATCCACTTTAGTTAATTGTTATATTTACCTCATTTTCCCAGGGTAACCAAATCACCCTTTGCTGAGCTGCTGCCCGAATATGTGCGCGCGCAGCGGGTGGGCGAGGGCAAGCAGGCGCCCGGCGAATGCTTTCCCTACTACAAGGCCTGCCCCAAGAGCATCTTCAAGGCGCTGTCCAACAAGTACAGCGCACAAGCGACAAGACAGACGACAACAACAACAACGAAAGCAACCTCAACGGAGAGGCCCGTGGGCGAATATCACGAGCAGCAGGCGGTGCTGCTGCCCAACAGCGCTGAGCAGGATGAGCAGCAGCAGCAGGAGCAGGAGCAGCAGCAGGAGCAGGAGCGATTGCAGCTGCATCAAGAGCTCGATGGCAATGCAGTTTTCATGTGAGCAGAGACGCTGGCTGCATCTCTCCTCTGCGTCTCCTAGTTGTAAGCGGCGGCTGCCGAATAATGAGTGCACATTGAAAGTCATTTGCTTGTAATTAACGTACACTAATTTATTTATGATTATTTATATATATTTATATATGTATTATGTATTGATTATCTTGTGTATTTAACTATTTATTGTTAGCTGTAGGCGTTGTTGTTAACTCTCTAGCTAGTTATATATATATATATATATACGTATACCCTGTAAATAAACAAATTTGTGGCATATTTACGCATAAAAACGGCGCCGCATGCGATTCAGATTCACTGGATAAATATATAGGTGTATATGTATATACAAAATTCCAGCTGACAAATGTGTTTGCCCAATTGTCGCGCTTCTTACATACATATTCATATACATATATATATACATCTATCTATATTTCTTTGTATATAAACAAAGATCGTATCAATTGTTTACACTGCGTATACGTAACGTGAGTCCGCTGCTAGTCTTGCAATCTGTGTGCGTGTGTGTGTGTGCGCGTGTGTGTGCTAGGAATTTGTAATTTAATGCCCTGTTTCATATCAGTCCAAACATATGCTTCAGTTGCTCCAGGTGCACGTAGTTCATGTAGTAGAACATGGAGACGTTGCGCGCGATCGCATCCAGCTTGAGCGCCTCCTGCAGGCAGTGCTGCTGGCAGCCCCCGAAGGCGAGCACCTTCTGCATGGCATCGTTGTAGATGATCTGTGTGTGAATGTTGAGCAGCTGAAAGCAACAGAGCTATGCATTAAAAGCAAGTCCAAGTGGACAAACTTAGAGAAATGTTAACGTAATCTAAGTAATCTATTATAGTAGAAAAAAAGCAATTCAGAAAATCGATAATTATCGAATTTCCGGCCATTTAATTTAGGACTCTCAGTAGGTGAAGACTACAGGGCATCTCAATATCCCCAATAATCCCATAAATGAACAGAAAATGATCATTCTATAGGAGTAAGTAGTCCCATATACCCGTCGCACATTTGTCAACATTTACAGGGTATACTCACCTCCATAAACAGCGTGGCCAACGATAGATTGCAATCGCAGCTCATGCTGTAGCGCAGCCGAAAGAAGTGCAAGCCTTTCAGCACGAATATATCCGATATATCGGGTATATTGTTGCCAATGCCGATCTTCACCAGCAGCCGCAGCACGTTGCGATACTTGAGCATGCGCTCGTCCTGTATGAACTGCATGCGCGGCACATAGGGACAGAAGCTGCGGTTGTCGTACTGCGGATAGACCTGCAGCAGAGCCAGCCAATAGTAGATGTTGTTGCAGTGCGCCCAGGCGGGACCCGAGGGCACGAACGGCGGCAACGGGAAGTCGGCGAACTTGAATTGCAAGGCCGGCAGGAAGACGAAAGATATGATGCTCGGCATGCCGGACTCACGCTTCTCGCACGCCAAAATCTCGTGCACGAAGCCCTGATCCCCGATCTCGTGGGTGCGGTAGCTGAGCTTGTAGTGGACTCCGCTGTCGCAGTAGACGGACTTGATCTGGGTGATGGTATCGCGCAGATTGCCGCGCAGCAGCAGCTGCACATTCTCCGGATTCACATAGCCTTTGATAATCATAGGATGCGAGGTGGGCGCATAGAGATTTATGTAACCCGGATGGGCGTCATTGAAGATGGGAGTCACGGGGAACGGCATATAGAAGCGCAAGTACTGCTCAAAGTCCAGTGGCACATCGATTTTGGAGCCTCTGTAGAAGGTGGCCGTGGATAGAAGGTGCTCCAGCACGTATTGATATATCGCATCCTTTTTGCACATAACTTCGCGGATCCGCTTGCAAATGAACTCCGCATCCAGCTGCCAGTCCGCGTCGCCCTCCTCGATTTCCATTAGATCCGATACCCATTTTATGCCCCCCTGAAAAGGGAAATAACCCTCGGGCAGCAGCGCAGGCGAATCTCTCTCACTAATAAGAGCATCGCTCTTTGGAAACATATATTCGCTCATTCTATCTGAAGCTGTTGGTAGCTCAAAGAGTGTACTTCACACTGAATTGCAGGAGCGGAACAAGCACTTGTTGCCGCTTACGCTTTGTTAAATATGACACGCATTCGTCAATCAACATGATGTGCAAATAATAACGTATCGATACTGCACGTAATGCACACGAAGAAGTGCGTAAAATACTTATCCACAGCACCAATAAATTTCACTTTCATCGATTTCATTTTGGCGCCTCATTCATTCAAGTGCTTTGCAGCACTGCTGCACTGTTGCGATGAGCTTGCGATAGTATCGTTGGCAGCGTATCGATAACCGGCGCACAGCTGATTGCTTGGTTTATCACGCTTGCGGACTTCGAGGTGCTTTTTTTGATTCAGTTATTTACAAAGTTTGCACAAACATAAAAACACCAGCGGAATTGCGTGTCGCACAAATGTGTGAGCACAGCGATAGCAAACAGTAGAACGCTTGTTGCAGGTAAGTTCACTGGACGCTTTCCACCCTCTCGAAAGACAACGTCAGCAAGCGAAATAGCAACAACTCTAACGCCGACGCCAACGCCAAAGCCAAACCCGGCCAAACGCCAATTAGAATAATATCAACAACAAAGTTTCGACTGAGTCAGAGTCGTCAGGCCATTGTTTGATAATGATTGTATTGAGGCATTATCACGACCTCGCAGCGACAGATGATTGCCGAGCGAAAGCGGCCGGTGTTAATGCTACTGCTGCTATTGTTGTTGTTGTTGTTGTTGTTGTTGTTGTTAGTGCTGTTGCTGCTGTTGATATTGTTGTTGCTCTTGTGTATATCACGCGGACGTGGCGCTATATAATATATACGGTAATCTATCTCGGCCCTCGCTTATTTAGCAAGTTTCTATTACAGGTAAATCACAATCCACATCGCTGGCATGGACGAGCTGGACAACAGGACGGCGCAGCAGCCCACAGCGGATGCAGTTGCAGCGGCGGCTCCAATTGCACCTGTCACTGGTTCACAGAGCGACTCCTCCGAGGAGGAGGAGTATTTGGACAACAGCATTGAGCTGCGCGGTTATTTGAGCAAGTGGACCAATTATATATACGGCTGGCAGCCACGCTATATTGTGCTCAAGGATGGCACGCTCTCCTACTACAAATCCGAATCAGAGTCCGATTTTGGCTGTCGCGGCGCCATTAGCTTGTCCAAGGCGACCATTAAGGTACGTATTTAGACGCCATATGAATACACGTATGCGTGTATACACTTAGCCAGCAAGTGTTCTTAATTGAACTAATCAAAAAGTAATGGGTGCGAGCGAGTGTGCGCATATCCAAGAACCCCCGACGCCGCAATCAATGCAGCGCAATCAATTAATGCTGAATGTCGCCAACGAATGGTGGTGAATAAGTGACAAAATATAAAACCACACTGAAGTCATCAAATGTAAGTGGGCCCAACCCTGCGCTGCCTGCCCTGCCCTGCATTGGCCAACCCTCGCCCGCCACTGCCCTCACTTTGTCATTTTATGGCAATTGTTTTTCTTTTTTTCGGAGGGCGTTGATTGCCCGCCTATATTTAGTCTATTTTTATTGTAAACAATGATTCATCGTTTTGTTTGCAGGCACACGAATCGGACGAGCTGCGCTTCGATGTGGTTGTCAATAATCTGAACAACTGGTGCCTGCGCGCCGAGACCAGTGAGGATCGCATGCATTGGGTGGAGGTGCTGCAGCTGTATAAGGAGGGCACCGGCAGCACGGACACCACGTCGCTGCGTCGCCATGGCAGCAGCATGTCCCTGCAGTCGAACACCATATCGCTGGCCAGCGGGGGCAGCCTGAAGAAAACCCAACGCAACTTGCGCGAGAAGGTTGGCGAACTGGAGACCTTCAAGGATATACTCTTTGTGCAGATTGAGACGCTGCAACGCTACTTTGACGCCTGCTCCGAGCTGAACAAGGCCAATGCACAGCCGCTCGACCTGGGCGATGGCCTAAAGCCCATCGATTTCAAGGTGAGCGCCTAATGATTCCCATGGATTTCCGTATATTAATGCATGTTTCCTGCTGGCAGGGCGAGTCCATCACATTTCGTGCCACAACAACTGGAGTGCTGAGCACATTGCAGCATTGCCTGGAGATTATAGGCGAGAGTGATGAATCATGGAAACGCAAGCTGGAGCGCGAAATAGATAAGCGACGTCGCGCGGACGACCAAAATAGGTGAGCCTAAACTAGAAAATAGAGAGAGCTTAACTAAATTTGTTTGATTTTGATATTTGCAGAAAGCTGAAGGAGGAAATCGAGAAGCTAAAACGTTTATCATATCCCGGCCCAGATTTTGAGGTAAGTTTCACACGTTTAGTTTTCCTATGAAAACAAACCAAATGCGAATTGTAAATATGAAATATAAACCTTATAAACTGTGTGTATGTGTGTGTGTGTACACACACTCAGCCCACACACTCAAGAGCCACCACAATCCCAGTGAACTCCGCCCATATGCCACTTGCTTTGGCCGTCCAAAAATAAATCTCTTGTGTTTGTTTGATTACATTACAATTTGAGCATACGCACACGCCGTGTAATTATTTAAACAATTTGCCTGTTTGGTAATGCATGAGCTCCAACTATAGCCGTATATAATCTATGCCTTATAATATTGCCCCTATATAAATATATTTATATACATATAATTGTGGCCGAGTCTATTTGCGCTTTGATTCCGTGTCATGTTTTTTTTTTTTTTTTTTTTTTGATAGTTATCCATTTTAATGGACCTGTCGCTTGCTCGGCTGTGTTTAGAGCCGCGGGCCTTTAATTAGGGCTTAGCGTTTAACTATTTTTAACTCTTATCAGTCGAATTGGATCGAAGTGGGCTCTACGCTATTTGGCTACGCCATTTCCTATATGTCAACTTTAATGCTTAATTTGTTTGGCTTCTTTCCGAGCGGCGCTGACTTATTAGATATGTGCAGGGCTCTATGTATATATGTATAACTAATCCCCAGTTCATTCACTTCGCTGGCAGCTCAAGCGCAAAATATTGAACACATGGCGACATTTGAAGTTGACTCTAAGACAGTTTTGAGGTTGCGTAGCACTTGGGCCAATATTGCAGTAGGTCATGTCTGGCTGTTGCAAGAGTCCATAAAGAAGATGCTCTAACTTTCAGCTGGGCTGCTTTGCTAGGTCAACAAACTTGTGATATTATTTCGAAATATAAAAATACCATTTGTATTATATATATATCAAGTATAATAAAAAAGACAAATAAATAAATTTCATATATTTTTAATTTTTTTAATAAATAATTTTATACCAATTTTTTAAATTAAAATTTTTAATATTTATTTTTTTATTAGCTTTTGTTTATATATTTCTTCATTTAAAAAAGCATTTTTCGTTTATTTATTTTCGTTATTTTATAAAAGTATTTTAAGTATATATTGATATATATTTCTTTATAATAATATATTTAAAAAAAAATAATTTTTTCCCGAAATTTAAGTCAATTTAAAGTTATATAAAGTTATATAATTTATCTCCGCAGTTCATTTACCCATTTTGTTTGGTTAGCGCATAGCAAATTCGCTTTGAGCCTAAGCGGCTGAGCTCCACTTGTTGGCCTGGCTTTAATGTTTAGCTGGGCTTGGCTCAGCTTATGGCTGGCAATTGACAGCACGAATTGGTCAGTCGACGGTCAGCGATCGGCTTGCGCACACGTAGAAATCATAAACAAATTGACGGGCTCTTTTTGTCGCGTTTAGTGTTTTGGACAATTGTGAAACTGTTGGCCATAAGAAAGCAATTCGAAAGAAACTTGGCCAAGAGAAGCGGCACATAAAAATGCCTGCGATGCGTTTGCAATGGCGTTGCGGCTATAAGCTACAGCATGGCCAAAAGATTGTGGTAGGTAAATCTACTTGGAGTGTGGGTGGAAGTGGGAGTGAGTAAGAGAGAGAGAGAGCGGGTGTGTGAGAGAGACAGGTAGAGATAGTGTTATATTAAATCAAGCAAAACGTTCCAAACATTGATTTATTATTTAAGCGCGTGTAATCCTTTACATATGAAGCTTAAAGCTCTCGTTCTCTCTCGCTCGCTCGCTCTCTCGCCGACTCTCTCTGGCAGCTGGCAGGATGTTTTCTGTTTGTGCTCAGCAACAGTTTGTTTCGCGCCCTCGCGCCAGTCGGAAGGATTCGGTTGGAAGTGCGCGTGGCTTGTTGATGACCTCGTAAACTCACACACACACACACGCACACGCACACATACGCCCCATTCCACCTTCGCCTGGCTTTACTGCACGTGTGTGTGTTTGTGTGTGGATTCTGCATATAATTTGTTGGCATCGACTTGTAGACATTAAACGGACGCCAAGTGGAGCCTGGTGAGCGCCAAATCCCCAAATTCCCGTTGCCAGCTGCTCAGACAACTGGACGCCGATTCGTGACTTCATCGCCCAAAACAAAACTTTGGCCTACATTGGGGAAGTTCAGTGTTTTTTTAGTCTTAGTGGCGTGCTTGATAATCGTGACACGAACTAATCCCGCTCTACTACTAACTAGTCGAAATCTAGTAAGCCTTTGTGATTTTTTATTACATTTCGTGTTCTGTACACGTGCTTTTCTCTAATTGGTTTCTAAATTTAACCGTACTGTGCTTACTATCTGAGTGTGCTTCGTATTTATTTTCTGCTCTATTAGAATTGAAGAATCCCCTTGCTTCCGTAACCTACGGCCTCTCTTAACTAGGCTGTTTGTTTATATTGTTTGTCGTGTCTTTGTCTGTAAGTTAAGAGCTCTCGAAGCACGAGCCCATCTCTAGTCGATTAATTTTTAACTTATCTCAAAGAATTTTGTGTTCTTGCTCATGTCATTCTCAATGAATTCGGCATATTACACAGTTTTGTGTTTGGGTTTAGTGTCTTTTACCCCAAGTTTTCTAAGCTCTTAAGTCTTCCTGTATAGCATGATCGTGCTCATACTTCAGGTTGTATTTTGTATGCTTATCTCTAGTTCATCCAGACACTCACCAGCTCGTGCATCTTTACTTTATTCGTTCTTGGTCTGTCTTACACGCGCCCATCTCTAATTCGTCTTCATATTTACCGCATAACTCGTGTTCGTTTCGTGCTTCTCTGCTAGTCGGCTAGGCACGCTCGCATCTCTAGCTAGAATTCGCTGGCTTTTGCGTTTAATTGTTACAGCTGCTTATGCGCCCAATAATTGAATAGAATTAAATTTGGATAAAATATTTCCAGTCTTCGAATAGGCATGCACGCGCCAGCCATCATAGACTGTGCTTTGCTGTCTTCAGACGGCGCTCCTTTAGTATTCATGGCACATGGGGCTTGGGGTATGCCGGCCAACCCGCCCGACTGCCCGGCTGCCCGACTGCCCAGCTGCCTGCCTGCCTTCCATATGCATGCGTTATGGGCATCTATTATGCTCAAGCAATTTCGCATGCGGTGGCAGTGTCGCCCGTTGGGGATTTCTGGGAGACTTGGATTTAATTTATGCGCGTCACGATTCGCATTTCTTGCATTCAATTAATTAGAGCCGAACCCCTTTGTTGAACTTGACTTGGTACTACATATGTGATGCTTGACTATTTGCTTGGCAGGAGGGTCCACATTCCACATTGCCCGAGGATGAGTTCTTTGATGCCGTCGAGACGGGCCTGGAAAAAATCGAAGAGGACATGCAGATGCGCTTCAAACTGAGACTCCAATCGCAAATCTCACAGACGCTGGTCAATGTGCCGCACGAGGCCGTGGCCGAGGGCGAGGAGGCGCGCGAGGAGTTCGGCACCGGGGCCGAGGCCAAATCCCATCCACTCTGGCCGGAGGTAAGCCGGAAATTGGAAACGAATTGAAAACGATTCAATAATTGCATTTCCATACAGATTGATCGCGTGTGCAAGGAGCAGCTGCACTATGCGCGCGAGGGCGTCGGCCAGGACGGCAATGGCTGGCAAATCTTTGCCGACGAGGGCGAAATCAAAATGTACAAGCGCGAGGAGGAAGTCAACGGCATGGTCATGGATCCGCTCAAAGCCTATCACACAGTCAAGGGCGTGACAGCGCGCGAGATGTGCCATTACTTCTTCATGCCCGAGTTTCGCAATGATTGGGAGAGTGAGTAATCCATCACTGAATATATACGTGGACTGACTTTCATATGTATGTATATGCACTTGCAGCCACGCTGGAGGACTGCACCATACTGGAGAAGATCTCGGCGGACACATTGCTCTTCTTGCAGACCCACAAACGTATTTGGCCAGCCAGCCAGCGCGACGCACAGTTCTGGTCGCATATGCGCAAGATCACCGATGGCCTCGAGCCGGGCACCTGCGACATGTGGGTGGTGTGCAACAACTCGACGGATTATGCCAAGCAGGAGGTGGGTCCCCCCTCTCTCACTCTCCCGTCTGTACTTAATGCAACATATTACATATTTTTCATATTTTTCCGCTAGTCGAAGAACGGCAAATGTGTGCGCATCTTTCTAACGGTCATACTCGCCTGCCAAACACTTCTGCCCGATAATTATGTCAAGGGCCAGCCGCTGAGTCGGGATGACTTGACCTGCAAAGTAACCTACTGTTCTGTGGGTGCGTATGCCTCGTGTAGATATCTCTATATTCAATTATATTAACATATTTTCGTATCACTCCCCGCAGTTAATCCCGGTGGCTGGGCTCCAGCGAGCGCCTTACGGGCTGTTTATAAGCGTGAATATCCCAAGTTTCTGAAACGCTTTACCGGCTATGTGATAGACCAGTGTAAGGATAAGCCTATTATGTTCTGATATTTGCCATAAGCAACAAAGCAATCAAAACGAAAAATGAAAAAAATAGAAAAAAAAAAAAAATGGATAATCCAAAACAGAAAACTGGAATAATGTTTAACGTATAATGTTTCTAATTTAGTTTAAAGTTTAGCGTTTAAGCAGCCGTTGAACTTACAAAGTGGCTACACTCTTAAAACGTTTTTTATACACACCCCTAACCGTTAATCATAGCCACTGTAAGTGCCCCGCCCCGTAAACGCCCCCCTTGCTAACCCAAAACTTGTAAATGTGCTTTAAGTCAGATGTTAGCCTGTTCATTTTGTAAAGCCAATCGCTGTTTAGTTCTTAAGTTATTTGGTAAGCAACAACTAAATTTTAACATTTTTTTAACTGAGAGGAAGCAAAACACAATCATTGTCTATAAGCTGTGGCCTATAGCTCGGCTGCTTGGAATTTCTGAAAACACTGTGTCTATATAACTATGAAAATGCTTTAAGTGCAACAATTGCAAAGAATTTTGAATATGTGTTTGTGTAACGTAGCTAAAGAATTTTATTACACTATTTCTATACGCCTCAATCTATACGCCTCTCCGTGTGAGTTTTCTTTAATCAAATCAAATGAAACCAACTATGTCGAATGTAAATAAATGCGATCCATTGTTAACTCTGGAAACTTGTGCACTGCGGCAAAGTAAGCATTGAGTCTTTGTATTTGTTATGGCTGACTGCGCGCGTCTCGGCAGCGTTATTAATAGACGAGTATGAAAGAAAACTGTCTATGACTAACTATACCAAATTGTAAACTCTTGACTGACCATTCTGATTGATAAGATTAAAGTGAGTGCAAATATATAACTATATATAACTCAAAGCTCGCCTGACTTTATGTAATATAGATAAAGCTAAATGTAATACAGATAAAGATAGTTTTTGATTGCCAATTGGTAGATAATGCCGTTCGGGTTTCAATGGTACGAGCTGAAGTATAAATTGTTATATTAGAAGAGCTAAAATGGTTTACATTTAGATAAGGCCAAGTGACTGAGGAATTTATGTGAGTTCTAAATGAGTTTGAGAGATCAAATTAAACAAGTATTTATTGATATACCCTGAACCCATTGAAAATGGGAAATCAGGGTATAATGGTTTTGTGAAAAGTATGTAACAGGCAGAAGGAATCATCCCAGACCCCATAAAGTATATATATTTTTGATCAGGGTGATGTGAGCTGAGTCGATATATCCCTGTCCATCTGTCCGTCCGTCCGTCAGTATGAGCAAGCCGATCTCAGAAGATAAAAGAGCTAGAGAGCTGAAATTTGGCATGCATACTCCTGTATACCATAGGCAGTACAAGTTTATCTTATTTTTTCGATAACTTTTTGATCGAGAATGATCGAAAAATCTACTTTGTTTTTTCAGCATAATTTGAACACTTTTAGTAGTAGGTATCTCCCAGTCGAGCAGTCTCGACTGGAGCCTTCTTACTTGTTGAGAGCTGATTCCAGCCCAAAGCTGCGAATGCCATTTGAGTCAGAAATTACTTAAATTTAGAAGAGGCTGCTCTTCCACATCTACATTGAACTAGTTTACACCAATTGGAGATCAACAACTGCATCGCATCAAGCTTCGAGTTGAACGGCTTCAAAGGCAATTGATCTCTTATTCTCTATCTGTTACTCTGTTGCTCTCAGCTCACCCTCTCTCTCTCTCTCTCTCTCTCTCTCTCTCTCTCTCTCTCTCTCTCTCTCTCTCTCTCTCTCTCTCTCTCTCTCTCTCTCTCTCTCTCTCTCTCTCTCTCTCATTGACACATTTGGAATTCACCCTGCTGCCCCTCAAAGTGCTGTCCCTTAAGCCCTTAAGTAAAACTTCAGTTTGCTGTTTGTCTTTATCATTATGTCATGTCATGTATTTTGCATTTTGTAGACCACAATCAATGGAATTAGCACATTAACAAATGTACATTAACTGTGCTTCATTATTTGCTTTTGTTTTTCGTTTTTTTGAATCTTTTTTTTTTTTTATCGATATTTTTGCCAAGGGAATTTTACAATTTTCTCTCATTTCATTATTCAATTTTTACAACCAAGTATATATTCATAGAGTGTTTTTCTTTATATATGTATTTACTTTCCAAAACTTTGAAATGCCTAAATCGGTGCAGTCTGAAAAAGTTTTGCATTGCCAAAAACTTGTAATTCCATTTAGAGATTGCTTAGATAAGTTAATAGTTAATATGACTAGAGATGTGAGTTTTGTTTCTGCTTTGCTTCGCTTTATACTTTATATGCTTATTTTCTTGTGAACTACAACGTTGTGTTTGTGTGTGTGTGTGTGTGTGTGATTTAAATGTTATACTAGTATATAATGTATGCCTGGTTGTTGTGATCATATTGTCATGTAAATTGGTTGGATCTTGCTTGCTTTTTGGCTATTGCAAAATGTAATCAGAGTCGTCTACTTATAGTACAGGTGTACAGGAGGTGTACAGGTGTGTGAAAGCTATATGGTCTAGAGTTTTGGCAAACTGGAATCGGCGCTATATAATTCTGTATCTTGTAGTATCTTGAGCTGGGTTCGCTTTACTGCTTTCAGTGTTTCTTTGATGAAAATGCATGCTGGCTTACGACTTTGGCTACTAAATATTCCTCTAAATTCATATACATATACATATACATATATATATGATTTGTATAATTAGGTATTATAATGCTTAGCTATGTACAACAGTTTCATAAACTATTAGATGCGTGTTTGTTTATACTTTAAATTAATTTAAATAACTAGCTAACATTTTCCTTCAGTTTTTCATCGGGGTCGGAGAGAAAAACATAAACAATTTAACGTAAACCTTTTAATTTACTAGATATATATGTGTGTACGAGTGTGTGAATATATGTATGTGTATTTCATGCATGCATTATATGTAGTTGTCTTTCATAATCCGTTTCTCTTAATGCTCTGCTCTTAACTACACTACATTCGGTAGTTCCTTCAGCTATGCAAAACATTTTAAATACGGCCTGCCGCAATTTTATAAAATTATTTTTTTTTAAATACACATTAAATGCTTAAGTTGTAATCTTGTGTATTATTTTTAACATTTATTGCAATAATATATATTTTTTTTAATTTATCATTTATAATTCTTTTTTGTTTAACATTCATTCCATTTATAATATAAATATTTTAATATTATTATTTTTTGCAGCTTTTGAAGTTAAACTAAGCATAATCAGTATGTAAATAAGTCTTATGGTTTATATTTCATTTTCCTTATTATTTTTTTTTTTTTTTTTTTTGTAGTTTAAATTAAATTTGTTCGTTGAAAATCAAAAATGCTCGAAAAGTTCTTATTATTCTTGATTTGTTATTCATTTTGTTGTTGTAAATAGTTACACTTGTGTATTTTATTTTTCATAATTTTTTTTTTTTTTTTGCTGTTTATATTTCACTTAGTATGCAGTTTGTATTCTAATACTTTAATTTTTAACAATTCATAAATTGTTAAAGAAATGCCTGTTTGTTTTTGAAGTGGAGTGTGTGTGTTAGCCAAGTCTATAAGGATTTCTTGTATAATATGTTGGATTTTACAACAGATCTTCGCCCTATATAGGATTTGCCATATTTAGCTTTTTCTATCTGTTAAGATTTTACATAACAATTATGTTTGCCTTTATCGTATCGATTTTTGTTTTTGTTTTCAAGATTTTACAACAGTTTTGTGCTTCTGGTAGAAACTTTTCTCTAGTTCCTCCATAGGGGTATTCCCTAAATTAGATTTTACAACAAATTTGTCTGCCTTCTATATGGCATCGTGACCATTTGAAGAGTTTTCAATTTTCAATCAACACTTTGTATTATTTTTTTTTTTCCAATATTTGATTAATTTAAAAATTAGTTTATGTGTCCTTAGACATTGATTTGGAAAGCTTCACGCTGCAGCTTCTGATTGGCACGCATTCGTGGCGACGTTTGGGTCTTCGCCTTGTCGTTGGCATCCGAGAAACGGGCCGGTGGATTGATGTGGTCCTGGTAGTTTGGTGGATAGTTGGATATGCTAAACGTACAGGGTTCTAATTATGCATATAGCGGGAACATATCATATCAATTGCTCAGCGTTCAGCGTCTCGGCTTACCTAAATGTAGTCTCTTCATTGTGGCTCGAGTAGCCGCTGGAGCTGCGCACGTGGCGCTTGCCGCTGGTGCCCGGCTTGCTGGACTTGCGGGCGGCGAAGGGGGGCTTCGATTTGCGGGTCATGCTGGTGGGCGTGGTCTCCGACGAGGAGGATGTCTCATCTTGAGTGTCTGCAGGGTAGCAAAAGAGAGAGAGAGAGAGAGAGAGAGTTGTTGCACGCTGCGTATACGCAATATTCGAGTGTCGATGGCTTACCGCGTTGTGCGCGATATTTGGCCGAGTTAAGAGCGCGGGCGGACACATCATTGTCGGACTCGGAGCCGAGTGTGTCATATTCTGTAATTGGTATGTGAAGCGTTAGGATTTTCCTAACTTCGGAATCTGTTGAACCTGGATTGTCCGATTCTAAAAAGTTTAATACAATGCGATGTTTCGTTTTTTGCGAATGAAGTGATTGAATGCGTATGTTAGTATTGAAGTTGATTAGAGCGTGAATAAAACATATAGTCATATATGATATATCGAAATCAGGAGCATAGAAATACATAGACAAATCATACAGGACTTGAATGCAACATGATATGAGATACAAATAATGAGCAAATTTTGCTTAAAGCTACATTTTAGGCAACTCAAATGGAGAGGATAATGATATATATGTATACGTATATCGGTTATATATGTATATACCTTGACTCTCTGAGTGCGGGTCGCGTAGACGGCCTACTTTTCGGCGCACCTTTGTATACTCTGGCTCCTTGGACTGTGGAAGACAGAGAGAGAGAGAGAGAGAGGGAGAGAGGGAAAGGGAGATAGAGAGATAGGAAAAAGTATAGAAAAACAGAATAGTTAGAAAGATAGACGAAAAGAGACAGTTACAGAAAGAAAGAAAGAAACAGAGAGAAAGAGAGAGAAATAGTATTATAGACCCTTTCACGTATATCTCCTATGTGTACACCCCGACTTACGTGATAGCTCTCTGGCTTGACATCGTGATAGACAAAGGAGCCGCGCACCGAGTGATACGGGCCGCTGTAGACGTTGCCGCTGTAGGAGCTCTCGCTGTACGTCTGCTTGTTCAACTGGAACGTGGCGTAGGGGCAGATGTCCTCGATATACTCGTTGCCCTCGGCCTTGCCAAAGCTGCCCGAATCGTTGGAGTTGGAGCCACGCGGCGCGGAGTTCGTCGGATTGCAGCGCACGGCCAAGTACTGCTGGTCACGATTCTGTTTGTTCTGCAGATTGGCCAGGGAGGGCGACTCCGACATGGAGGAGCTGGCCAGACGCGCCTGGTTGCTCAGCTCTGCGGGCGAGTGAACTATTTAGACTAAGTGAGAAGTTTACTCGGGATACTCTACTCACTTCGCTTGCGCAGGAACAGCGCCGCCGCAATGAGCGCCAGCAGCATGAGGAGCGACACGCAGATGGGCAGCAGCAGCTTGAAATTCGCATAGAAGGGCAGATCGCTCAGGTGCGAGACGGGCGTCGAATGGTCGTTGTTGTAGAGGACTAGAGAATGTGGAATGAGAATTGAAGTGAGTTGAGGAAATCTGATCAGGGGAAGGCAAGGCCAGGCTTGACTCTTCCATTTACAGGGTATCTGCTGGTCAGTCAGTGCACACTTACCGCCTTGGGGCGAGAGCGTCGTAAAGTTGTACACCGCCGTCGTGGAGCCCGCATTGTTGTGGGCCGTCACCTTGAGCTGGTACTTGGTGCCCGGCACCAGGTCGCTGACCGTGTAGATGCGCTCGGTGGGCGGTATGTGGTTGGAGACGACGTTCCAGGCGGAGCGGCCGTAGACCCGCGACTCGATCATGAAGTAGAGTATGCCGCAGCCGCCGTCGCCCCAGGAGTCCAGCCAGCAGGTGACGCTCGTCGAGTTGTTGGTTATCATCTGCGAGTGCTTCGGCTGCACGGGCGAGTTGCCCTTGGTGTAGGAGTTGACGATGTCGCAGGGCAGGCCGGTGCCGATCTTGTTGTAGGCCGTTATGTACAGCTGGTAGCGCGTGCCGCACCACAGGTTGCTCAGCAGGTGCGAGTTGGTCTTGGCGTCCACCTGCAGCTCCTCCCAGTCGCCGTTGTCCCGCTTGTAGTTGATCACGTAGCCCAGGATGGGGCTGCCGCCGTGGCTGTTGTCGAGCCACTCCAGGTGCAGGCTGTCCGTGTAGCTGTTCACCACCGTCAGGTTGGGCGCCTCCGGCGGCACCTTGACCACAATGCTGTACACGATCTCGTCCTTGCCCCAGGTGTTCTCCACGCTGCAGGTGTAGTTGCCCGCGTCGCTCGCCTGGCACTCGCGCAAGTAGAGCGTCCCGTTCTTGGCTATGGTCTTCCTCGCGCTCGTCTCCATGTTGTGCCCGTCCTGCCGCCAGATGGTCACCGGCGCGGGCGCGCCCACCTTGCGGCACGGCAGCTCCAGGTTCTCCTTCCAGGGCGTCACAATCCGCTGGCTGAACGAGACGATGCGCGCGGGCACCTTGTTGTTCGGCGGCACCGTCACCACCTGCGTCTTCTCGCCCTCGCCCACCTTGGTGGAGGCCGTCAGCCAGAACTGGTAGGTGGCCGACTCCTGCGTGCGCACCGTCTCGTGCATCTCCACGTAGGGCCCGAGCACCCGCTTGTGCGTGCCCTCCTCGCGGCCCCCCTCCAGCATGGACATGTAGAAGGTGTAGCCAGTCTAAGAGACGGGGGAGTGGCAGTGGGAGTGGAGCTGAGTTAATTTGGCTTGCTAATTGTGGGCGTGGCTACTTACAATGTCACCGTTGGGCAGATCGGGCGGCAGCCAGGATACGATGATTTTGGTGCTCGACGCGGGTATCGCTTTGATGGCCTGCGGCGCCGATGGCACTGCAAAAATCATATAAATAAAAGCAATTGCGATGGCCGGAAAAGGGGGCGGGAAAATGCGCTGCATGAAATTGCAAACGTGCGGCGAGCACTAGGCAAGGATTGAGTGTGTGTGGGAGTCTCGACTCCCACTTCCACTGCCCTTCCCATACCCCAGCCCCGCCTCGTTTCAGTTTTGCGTTCATTGAACCGACGCCACTTACCATCCTCATAGGTGCGGCAATAAAATGGTTTGGTTTTCATCCCGTCGCCCACTTTGGTGTAAGCCAAAACCCAGACCGTGTAGTTTGTGTATTTGCGCAGATTCTCAATGGTGACGTATTGATTTGTTGACTTGACAACCTCCGGCTCCGCTTCTGGATAAGAAAAACAACGACAATTAGCACTGATTGGAAATATGACGACGGCGAGCTGAGCAAGCGAAACGGCAGCTAATTAAATTGAATATACAACTATTGTCGAAATGGGAGAAGGGCTTATAAATGGAGATACAGACTGAGAGAGGGGGGAGGGGAAAAAGAGATTTGCTTGAAATGAAAATGTTAAAGTTAAATCAATAAATTTGAAATAGCTTCAGGCAGGGGAATTAAATTTCAACTGTTGAGGGCAAATCAAATATAGAATAGGAGTCAGATACATATATTACAGGCTAGTCTAGTATTGTAAGTGAAAAGTTAAAGGGAATCAAATATGACAAAATATAATCAATATATGCAAAATATAATTTTCTTGAGATCTATAAGCAAATTTAAAGAATTTTTTTTTAAATTCCCTATAATTCTGTTAACAAAATATAATTCGAATTTGAAGCATGAAAACTTTAATCAGAATTTCTATTGAATATGGGATATATATAGGCTTTATATATACAGTCGACTTTCGATAATTCTACATAAATGGCAAGAGGATTAGTTTTGATATTCGATTTACACAGAAATTCAAATTATCGAGAATTATCGAGAACGCATTTTCTTCAAGGGGAATGACATTTTTTCGATTTAGCGGGTTACAAATTATAGAGACTTTACTGTATGTATGTACATATACTTTATATATGCATATATATATTTTCTCATTTTAACAGTTCTATTTTCAATTTGTAGCTGAGTTTTGGCTGTGCAGGTTAATGGGTTAATGGCATTGCATAATTGCTTCGAAATGCTCAATCCCAATGCCGCTGAAGTAATTGGCGAGCCAAACAATTCGGCAACGAGCACAGACGTGCACAGCCATACACACACACACACGCACATACACAGTCAGACAGTTGGTCTTACCGTAAAGCTCATCGACCGATATGTAAAACACTTTGTAGCCCTTGATTTTGCCATTTTGTCCGTCAATATCCGGCGGTGACCAGGTGATATAAATCGATGTGGAGCCAAGCACATCGCATTGCGGCGACTCTGGCGGGCTTGAGGGCACTGCCAACGAGAGAGAGAGAGAGAGAGAGAGAGAGAGAGCGTGTGTGTGAGAGGGAGAGCTAGTGTAAGTGTATTAAATGTTTGCCAGCAAACGGCGCCAGCTGCCAGGGAGTTGGCTCCAGTTTTTGTGCACGGGCAATTAACAAATCCAATCAATGGGTGAGCGACCGGGGCGAGGGGTGTAGGTCCAGCCCCCTTTCCCCCGTTTGCCACTTACCATCCTCCATTGTTTGCACAGCAATTTCCTTGCTGGGCGGCCCGCTGCCCTGGCTGGTGTAGGCCTGGACAATCACATGGTACTGGGTGAACTTGTTGAGGTTGCTGAGCACCGTCTCGCCGCCGAAGTGGGAGCGCACCTCGACGGTCTTGAAGCTGAAGCCTTGGGTGGGATTCACCTCCTTGTCCTGGGGCGTGAGCGACATCTGGTAGCCCACATAGTAGCCCAGCAGGATGCCGTTCCAGTGCTCCCGCTCGGGCGCATCCCAGGTGACAGAGATCTCCGTGGAGCTCTTGGCCTCGGCTCGCACCTGCAGCGGCGGCCCCGACGGCACCTCCTCCAGCGTCGTCACCTGCACCACCTCCGAGAACTCGGAGGCGCCCAGCTTGTTCTCCGCCGACATGCGTATGTGGTAGGCCTTGGCCGGGCGCAGCTGCTGTATGTTGACCACCGTCTGGGCGCCGCTGATGTCAATGTGCTCCGCATTCTGCCAGATGTCTGTGAAATTTGCGGAGGCATTAGCTCTTGAGGCGCTGCTCTAGCCACACCTGCCTGTCGCTTGCTCACCTGAGATTTGCTTGTAGTAGATGTGGTACTGCTCGATGGGACTGTTGCCGGCGAATGGCTGGCTCCACGTCAGCTGCAGGCTGCGCGACTGCTGCGAGTTGATGCGCAGATTCTTCGGCTGCTCCGGCACCTCCTGCACGATTAGCTGTATGGACATCTCGTCCTGTCGACCAAGAGTTGTTGTTGTTAGTCAAACACACTCGCCACACTCGCCACACTCGCTGGCCCAGCTGCAGCCGGCGCTAGTCTGGCCGGCTCATTCAAATTGCCATAAATTAGGGCTAACAACTGTTGCCAGTTGGCCGGCAATGAGTCGACATGTGGGCGCGAGTGGGTGGGTGGCTGCCACTGGTGGGCGGTGGGCGGACATCAAAGTCGACTGGGCGAGAGCTTAACGCACAGCTGTTGGCCACTTCTCATGCAGAGAGTGTATGTAGTGTGTGTGTGTGTGTGTGTGTGTGTGTGTGTGTGTGTGTGTGTGTGTGTGTGTGTGTGTGTGTGTGTGTGTGTGCTAGTTGCTAGGGCTGGCTCTTACGCCTGATCAATCAGTGCCTTAGGCACAGCAGCAACAAATGAGTTTTATGAAAACCTTTTCGCAATCAATCATATAAAGTTGTTAATGTGCTTTGAGCAGCTTGAAGAAGCTTTAAGGTTTACTCATTTGAATTGCAGTTAGAATTCTACTATCAAAATGTATGCAAATGAAGGTTTACCTAGAGCTGCTTACTGACTGCTTGATATACTTGATATGATATGGGCTGAGCTAATCTAAGATAAAATATGCAATTTATATAAGTGATTGACGATTAATCTAAGCTCATTTAAGCTAAATTTTAAGCGATTATTAACTGATTGACTGCTTGATTGATGCCGATGAATTTCAATACAATTTAAATACAGTAGAATGCGGTTATAACGACTCTGCTTATAGCGTCTTTCGGGTATAACGACGGTTCCTTAAGTGTCGTTATAACCGGAATCTACTGTATTTTTCATTTCAATCATTTTTATAAAGATAAGGCCATTTATTTAGATGATAACTAAGGTATAAGTCTCATCAATCAGCTCTTTGACTGACGACAAACCAACTGAAGCTTACATTCAATCTAAGGACCTCTTCTACAAGTAGGAATCTCTCATAACAGACCCATTGTTTAATTTTCACTCATTTTCACACATATCATAATGGAATCTGTGGCTGATGACATTTTTCTTACACTCATTTATCACTGCTCTTCCAACTACAATTTGTCTATGACTTTTCACATATTCAGTTAACAAAAGAAAAAATACTCACACACACATACACATGCACATTTGAAACTTCCAACCCATTGTAAAGCCAAGCTGTTTACGAGGTATTTAAATGACTAACAAATGTAATCAAATATTCTAAGCGCAACATCAAGTGCTACAAACTTTTGATTGCTTTTTATATGCGACCAGCCCTGGTAGTACTTTATGTTGTGTGTGTGTGTGTGAGTGTGTGTGTGGCACAAAAGTGTCAGCATGCACTTACCTGTCCAAATGCATTGTTGGCCTGACAGATATAAATGCCTGTATCCTGGCGGTATGTGTGCGAAATGCCCAATTCGGAGACCATGCCATCGTCGAGCACTTGATCTCGTATGGTATAGCTGTGTGTGTGAGTGTGTATGAGTGTGTGTGTGTGATTTATATGCAAGTAAATGCATTTAAGAGATACAAGATACACACACACACACGCACGTACGTCGGCATGCAAACGTTGGCGTTTGGTGAGATACAGATACGAGATACGTATACGTTTACGTTAACAGATACAGATGCAGACACACAGATACAGATGCAGATGCAGAGGCCGAGATACGAATACGTGTTTGCGCAACGTGAGCGACGCAATGCAATTTTATAACAATGTTTTTCACGTTGCAACAGTTGTTGTTGTTATTGTTGTTGTTGTGTGTTGACAAAGACGAAGACGAACGAGGCCAACACACACACACACACACAGATGGCAGTCACGCGCGCATGTGTGTGCGTAAATAAATAAAACGCGTATTTGGTTTTCGGGCAGCAGTTCCAAAGTTGACAGCGTCGCATGGCGGAGGCAGGTGGCAGGTGGCAGGTGGCAGGAGGCGGTAGGCGGGACGAGGCCGTTTTATAGTTGAGCATAGCAAAAGAAGAGAGAGAGGGAGAGAGAAAGCCGGAAACACACATACATTAAAATACTTGCATAGGCACAAAAGTGGAAAATGCTTAAGCATTTAGTGGGCACTAAAATGGGCCAAAAGCTTTTACAAGCCCTTGCAAAACCTTCAGCTGAAAGACTTGATTACTTTTCGGTCGCTTCCCCGTTACCCCTCGGCTATTATAGGCAACTTTTTTATCATCATTTTCACCCCCCTACCCCCCTCCTGCTTCTTGCCTGCAACATAACTGTTAAGCTGCCAAACGCATTGGCATTGGCTGCTGCGAAATTGAATTTGAAACCGTACGAAGAGTCATCCAGCTCCAGATTTGTTGCGCCCCGCCCACTGAGCCATTTGCACAGCTCGTTTAATTAAAAGCAATTTGCAGCTTTGCCATCGACTTGCGAATTGATTCCCCAAACACTCAACACTCCGCGCCACGTGAATAGGGTCGAGCGGGTGCCAAGAACTGCAATGCATTTTTGATGGCAAGGTTGACAGCTAAACTTGTTTGCATAATATTTAGTAAAATATTAAGTAAATTTGTTTAGAAACTCGCAAAAGCAGAGTTTATCAATAGATCATATTTATTAATAGATTAATAGATAAATAATGAAAACATGCAAGAAACATTTTGGGGCTTTAAATACATAAATAATGCTGTAAATAAATAAAACTAATTTAAGTCATTTTTAAAATTAAATTAAATATTAAATATTTAAATAAAATTATTAAAAAATAAATTAATTAAAATAATTAAAAAATAGATAAATAAAATGAATATTAATAAATATATATTTTTCTTAATATATGAATAGGGCTTAATAATATTTTTAGATTGAGAAAAAAAAAAGAAATAATAAAAAAATATTGTTATTAATTTTTGAGAAATATAAAATGTTATATTATAATAAAAGAAACAAAAATTAAATATGAAATTTTACATTTCAGTAAATATATTTTAAATAATATATATATTTTAAAGAATATGTACTAAGCCATATACACATAGATATATAACCTTATCCACATTACAGACTCTACTGCTTGCTAAACCCCCCACAGAAACCAAATATCGAGCTGTGCCTATTGAAATGCCCCTCAGTGTAAGCGCAGGCAGACAAGCCACAGGCGAGACACAGATGCAGATTGGGAAGCTTGCAGAGGGAGAGGAGGAGGAGAGAGAGAGAGAGAGGGGCAGACAGATAGACTTACCGTGAATCGAGCGACTCGTCAAGATATTGTTGCGTTGCCTGGATTTTCCATTTGAAGTCAATTGGATTGTCGCCCTGCACATTGCACTGCACATGCACCTGCTTGCCCTTGGCTACCGAGATTTGTTTCGTTTTCGTTGGAAAATGGGCGGGCACTAAGGGGGCGTAGCGAGTGTCATTAGTAACTGTAGAGGAAGCTGTGCATATTGCGCATACGCACCATTGACTTTGAGGAAAATCACTTTGCTGACACCGGAGCCAATGTTGTTCTTGGCCTCGCAGAGGAAGTGCCCCTGCGACTCCTTGCTGATCTTCTTGAAGTAGATGGTGCCATTGGGAAAGAGCTGCACGCTGGGCTCGTAGAGGAAGTCCTTGTACTCCCCCGGCGTCGGCCCAATCGCCTTCTTCCACGTAATCGTCGGCTTCGGATAGCCGGCGGACTGACAGTGGACGAGCACATCTGTGCCGGACTGTGCGCTCGAGTCCTTCGGCTCCAAAATCCACTTGGGCGGCACATTCACCGTCAGCGGCACCGTGAATCTCTCCGTGCCCGCCACGTTGCTGGCGATGCACGTGTAGTTGCCCGAATGATCCGAGGTGATGTGCTCGATGACCAAGCTGGCCGAGTACTCGTCCAGGCGCCGGAATACCTCATTGCTGCAAGTCGTTGCATGTTATGAAATGAAAGTTCGGTAAAAGCCTTGCGGCATTCGCTACACTCAGAGAAATCGGGAGGTCAAGAGGCAATGCTCTTTTCTCAGCAGGAATGAAATGTGGGGAAATTGGTAAGACTCGTCTATATTTCTCTCTTTCTGAGGAGATAAAAGAATGTTGAAGGGATTTAGAAAAACATTTTTTCCATAATGAGAATGTGATACCACATAGCTTTATTAAGCAACCAGAAGGTAAGACAGTATTCCAGATAATTCCAGACTACAGCAGTTCTTATCTGCTTTTTGATTTAAAGTATAATGGAAAATTCTTGCTGTTCCCATTTCACATAGATTTCGACTTGAATTTGACATCCCATCCATTTTCTGCGAGTGTATATAGACCTTGTTATCGCTTACCCGGTGCCTATGAGCGGCTTGCCATTGCGCTCCCAGCGAAAGCTGACCGGCAGGTCGCCCTCCAGGATCTGGCAGGATATGGCAGCCCGCATGCCCTCGCGCAGCATATTCGTCATGGCCTGAATGGGCATGATTTTCGGTGGCACTGTAAAAATGGCAAATATGCATATATATATATGTGTGTGTGGCATAAACAGACATTGAGCATATCATTAAGCAAGCATCGAAAACAACAACAACAACAACAACGTAGCTCATAACAATTGCCAAGTTGGCTTAAGCACAAAAGCCATACTGATTATCAAGCCGGGAAACGTGCTGGCTGGCTGGCTGACTGGCTGTCTGTCTGGTTGGTGGGCGTGGCAGGCACATCAATGCGGCTTAGCAACAGCTGCCACACTGATAACAGCTGCACACAGTAAATTATGATGAGGAGCGAGAGATGCAGAGATAGCGACAGAGCCAGCAATAGTCGAGGCGAGACGAGGCGAGGCGAGTCGAGTCGAGCCTAGCCGAGTTGAGTTGCGTTGAGTTGAGGCAGTGGCATAGACACAGGAGTCAATGACTTCATTGTGGCACGTCCCCCACGCTGCTGGGCCGTGCATGTGCATTAAAAAGTGCTGGCAGCTGGAAATAGTTGCTGCGGCTGTCGCTGCATAGTTTTGTTGCCAGTCTAATTGGAATAGTTTCATTGTAGTTGCTGCTGTTGTTGTTGTTGTTGCTGTTGCAGCAACTTTCTAATTTGAATATTGGAACAGAACAGAACAGCAGCGGCTGCTGCTGCTGCTGCAGCTGCAGCTGAACCAAAAAAAAAAAAAAAAAAAAAGAAGAAGAGAAGTAGCAGTATATTACGCATACGCCGCGTACTCACCCAACACTTGAATCTCCACATTCCGCCTGGATGTCTGCTTCTGCTTGTTTTGGGCCATGCACGTGTACGTGCCCGCATCCTCCAGCCGCTGCAGCTGCTCGATAATTAAGGTGCCATTGTTATAGGCGCGCTGTCGTCGATTTATGGGCAGCGTTTGGCCATCTTTGCATGCAAATGAAAGAGAGAGAGAGAGAGAGAGAGAGAGCCGAAAAAACATCCGGCAATTAATTGCGGACTATTTATAGTCTTTTATAATTTATTTGCATAACAATGAATTTATTTAACCAAAAATGAGAGAACTTTGAGATGGAAACACAATTCAGATTGCATATTCCATATGAAAGTCTCTCCAGGCGAAAACTGACTTCAGTTGATTTTGGATATGCACATATGGAGTTGAGTTCTTAGAGTTGACTCGATTTGAAATGGTATTCCGTATAGTACTAGTCACGCTCGAAATATTCCTGTAGAAAACATTCCCAAACAAAGGTCTCAGCAGAAGCTCTCGAAAATATTCGAAACTATTCGAAGCCAAATTGGCTGCAGGACACAATTACTAGTTAAAACTATGTGCAACCCAAAAATGCAGCAAAGTTATGCGAGTTCGAACTTCTGCATATACAAATACATGTATGTACATGCATGTGTGTATATCCGGCAACATGCACGAAAATAATTGCAGCATTTTTTTGCGCGGAAAAAGCGTAGTTTTAATAATAATATTCATTGATATGCGCAATAACAAACATGGAAACTTTTAATACCAAACACGGGCCGTGAGGCAATGCAAACAAAGACGAACAGAAAAAGCGAACAGAGATATATATAGAGAGAGATATGTATACATAAAATTGGCCAAAAATGGCATTAAAGTATTGGATTTTATGGATGTCGAGCGAGACAGCAAGCAGCTCGATAATAAACATATGAAACGTAGTGGGGGGAAAGGGCAAGGGGAGGGTATCAAAAAAGATGAAAATAAATATATTTATATTACTTACCGCGCTCCCAGTGTATTTTATCGATGGGATAACCAGCCACAGGACATTTAACAATCAAATCAGAGCCAGAGATTCCCGTTATTTTTGGCATTTCACGTATGTAAGGCAGACCATAGATGTTCACTTTGGCGCTATGCGAGACCCTGCGGCGATATAAAAAACATACACAAGTCATAACTAACATTTAAGAGCAGAGCCAAAACAAAACAGAGCAAAGAAAATGCAAACAGTTTATGTGTGTGTGTGTGAGTGTGCGTGTGTGTTGGCATACAGCTGTACAGTTGTACAGCTATACAGCCATACAGTTGCTGCAGCTAAAGAGCCTGACTCGGCAAATTGTTTGAATTTTATGTCGCTTCTGCCTGCAAACAATGCGATTCCATTGCTCATATACCCTATATACCTCCGCTAGAGTCAGGCTGCGTGGCCTGTGCCAGATATGACCTCTATGTGTAAGCTATGTGTGGGCAACGGATATTGCTAGGCGAGCATCTCTAAATCTCTGGCCTCTCTGTGCGATTCTCATTTGTTGATAATCATATTCTTAAATAGAAATACATATATGTCCATTATCATGTTTTCTTCTTGGAAATTAGGTTCGACTCTAGGTAAACTCATCTTCCAGTAGAGCCTCTCTATGCGATTCTCTTGCAATCAACTAAGTTTTTATTGAAGCCGTTAAACTCTCTCCTTTATTTTGAAGAAATCCATTTTACAGAGCATCTAGCAGTCGTTGACATAGCTCAGCTATCTTTTATTTCTAGTTTTTACTATGGTATGCAACAATTAAATTTATGATTTAGCAGAGAAATGTTTTTTATGCTCCTATCAGAAAGCACAGATTGCTGAAAGTATGTGTGTGTATGCCTCCGTGCCTGTGTGTGTGTGTGTGTGAGTGTGTGTATTTTATTTATGGAACTAGAGCCACTCACTTGCCAATCGCATTCTGCGCCGTGCAGGTATACTCGCCGCCGTCCTCCTCCTTGACGTTTGAAATATTCACATGGCTGATGACATCGTCGTGGATGGTAACATATTGACCCACTAAAAAGCGAGAGCTGTCTGGTATCTGGCGTGTCAGATAGAGGGAAAGAAAATATCGTATATATAGTTGAGAGAAAAGGGCAATTAGATCAAAAATATATATAGTCGACGGCCAAAGTGCGAGGGCGACGCTAGGGAAAAGCTCTGAGGATACTCTATAAAAAATTCATGTAAATCGAATTGATTGAAATTGCATAAAATTTACACTGCGCTTAAGTGTGGAGCAAGCGAGAGAGAGAGAGAGAGAGAGCGAGAGAGGGAGGGGGGAGCTAGGCTAGTGTATGGGGAGCTGTGTGGGAAGGGCTCACTGTAGCTGTAGCGCAAGAAAATGGAAATTTATGCAAATAAACGAAACAAATCCTTGAAAATGCGCCATGGAACATGCCAAGAACTACAGAGCTGAACGCAGCGCAGCGTAGCGAAAGGAAAAACGAAAGAAAAATAAAGGGAAAATCAAGTGTGGGCAAAGCAAAGCAAAGCAAAGCAAAAGCCACGGGGCATGCCAAGCATGACCAAGCTAAATTTTTAGGGTAGAACTTTACTAAAATGTGCAAGAAGAAGAAGAAGAAGCAGAGGAAGTGGGAGAGGAGGAGAAGGGGAGCAGGAGGTGGAGGAGGAGAGAGGCTGCACCGCTTTTCGTAAACATTTATGCATATTCTTGTATGGGTGCGTGTGTGTGAGTGTGCCTGTGTGTGAGTGTGTGTGTGGCATAAGCAACTCCATCTTCATCAACGTGCATGTGACGATAGCAGCGGAAACGGAAACGCTGCCTGCATTTCCGCTGCTGCTGATGCTGCTAAGTAAGTGCTCAGGACGTGTGTGAACTTTAGATGGAGCCCTCTCATCCTCTCACCTCCACTACCACTTGCACTCCCTCCCCCTCCCTCCCTCCGCCCTCACCCTTTGAAGAAGCCAAACTGTGTGGGCCATACTTACCGGAAATCCGTCCAAAGACCATGTAAATTGCGGCAGTGGATTTCCGGTGGCAACGCATTTCAATGATACCGTCGGCCCCGGCTGCAGTGTTTGCTCCGAAAACCAATAAAGCAGTTCCGGCGAAGCATCTAAAATTGTCAGAGATAAAGATTGAGATTCGGTTTAGTGCGTACGGCGTATGGAGCAGGGCATAGTGCTTAAAGTCTGCTCACATGTGTGGGGCTGGATGTGGTTGGGGGTGGGCGTGTGGTTGTGGGTGTGGGCGTGTATTCAAGTGTGTCTGTGTGTGCGTGTGCTTTTTAGTTGGGCTAAGCTTAACCCTTATATGCGGGGCTATGGGCATAGCGGCTTTAAGAGTGCTCCATTAATTAGCGTCTGCTCAGGTGTGCACAGCTGTGTGTTAGTGTGTGTGTGTGTGTGTGTGTGTGTGTGTGTGTGCATTAGAGAGTAGCTTATTGGCAAATGCCTGAATGGCTTGCGTATCTATTGATAGAGCATGTTCTATTAACCAGAGCAGCAGTTGGTTTACTGCAACTCGAGTGGGTTGCTTTTAAAATATTAGCAGCTGATATATGTGTAAGGGCTGATCAAATGAGAGCTAGAGGAAAAGAAGTAGAGGAAAAGTAGAGAGAAGTAGAGGGCATAAATCTTAACTCATTCTTTTACTGTAGCTTTCATTTGACTAGGTTAAGTTCTTGATTTTAGTTATCATTTGAGGATGCATCTATGCCATTATCTACATAGTAATTACATAGATGTTATAGTTGAGGATGCATCTATGTTATTTTCTATATAGTAATTACATAGATGTTATATTTAGATGTTGTGCTAAGGCAGCCAAAGTTTCTCTGCTGATAATCGCTTGAGTTACTTAGGGCAGCATACGTAGTTTTCTGAGTCTACTCCTTCAATGCTGTTGCTTTGGCTATATTTTCTTGCCCCTGCAAAAAGCCTGCGCTAACTCCTGGAGTAAATAACAAATGCACTGAGTATTGAAGTCATATGCATATAAATATGCAAGTCTAAATATTGTTTCCTTTTTACAACAATTTTTTCATCATAGGCAGATCCAAAATAAATTATAATGAAATGCCAAATCTTGTTAAATATTTATATTTTTAGCTCTTATCAATAGCTTAAGCCATTCAACACATATAACCATCCCAAATAGCATCACTCTGGCTGGGTCCTCCTATATACTTGTATAGTTACTTTAAGCAACTGGGTTAGCTTGAGCTGCACACTGCGAACTTCATCTGTCACTTGCATTTATATATTTCTTACAGTTATTTCTTTTCAGATTTTCCGCTAGCTGATTTCAGGAGCATCGATGGCGATGCCATTTCCCATCTCCCATGAACTTGCACATATATCCTATTCCTTTTCCATTTCTATTTATTTGGATATATATATATATATATATATATATATATGTTTCTTTGCTGCTGCATATTTGCTAGCAATCAAAATCAGATTTGTAAAAATGCTTTTCGCAATATTCTTCTGTGCGCTTTGACCTTAGAGCGCGGCGGAAAATGCATTTGACAAGCGAGCAAATGTTATCCAGCTGATGAAAATTGTATCAATTTCCGCTCCAAGAGACGACGACGCCGACGACGACGACGACGACGACGGCGACGTTGGGAGAATATTTCGGGCGTTAGCGCTGACATTGCCAGTTATAAGCTGCCATATTTATTTGCAGTCAGCCAACACACACACTCGCACACACACACAGACACACACACACATTTGTAGCGTGGCACACTCGGTTGACACAATTGCTGCCATATCCGGCTGCTTAATGGCTCTGCGCTGGATGCTAGCGCCATTTTGTGGTGCGGCAACAGCAGCTCTTAACACCACAGCGCTATGTTCGTGTGTGATGAGTGTGTGTGTGGTGTGTCTATGTGTGCGTGTGTGTAAACATGCCAATAATATATCGAAATCAATTTCCGCTTGTGCCTAAAAGCAAATCAGAAATGTTGCCAAAGCCGCCAAAAGTGACAAAGCGCGAATATGAGCTAGCTGCCAGCTCTCTATTTATGAGTGTCTGTGTGTGTCCGTATGTTAGTGTGCATGTGTGTGTGTTTGAGCGCATTTAGTCCCTAGGCAGCTGAATCTCAGAGTGTGCTGGGCTCTAGGCGCAGCTAAGCGAGCGTAGAATGCTAGAGATGCGCAGAATTTTAGCTGTCACTGTGACTGGAGCAAAGCTGTGATATGACAAACTGCGCCTGTGAAAGTCACAACTAAAGAGTTGATTATGCTAATAGTAAAAAAAGTAGGTGACTATCAGTGACTCATTTGACATTGACTATCACAGTCACAGTTTTTAAGGAAGCTGTGACTTTCCCTAATCACAATCCTAATCCTAATCCGAGTAATATCGAAACTGTAGTAAATCATAGCACAGCTTTCTTCCCCGGTCTCTTCATATACATATATTGACATTATGTTGTCATACATATTCACAGTGCGAGCTGTGATTTACAAAAAACAGTGACACGCCATGAACTGTGACTTCAATTAAGACTGCTAAGAGCAAACGAGGTACGTGATTCATATTACTTCACGGCTTAACTGTGACTCTTCATTTGATTTTCCTCCTAACAGTCGCTGCTTTTATAGAAACTGTGACTTTTGTGAACAAGTCACGGCTAATATCAGTGCTGTGTCTCTTAATACCCCAACTCCGTCTGTGCATTCATCACTTATCACCATCTATCACTCTTCACATTCACATTCTCATTGTGTAACGTTATCGCAGAGAAGAATGTCGCAACACTGGTGGCTAGAATATTAGTGCTGGTAATAAAATTAAGTTGTCAGGCTGCGTTTTATGGCTGGCTCTAGCGCCATTGTTGTTGCTTTTTTATTGTTGCCGGTGTTGTTGCTATTGTTGTTGCAAAATGCCAGCAATTTGCTAAATTAGAAATTAATGAAATGCAATTATGACAAACATTTATTTGTGCGGTTTTTGCGGTCGTCAAGCGACGGAAATTTCGCTTTTGATTTGCGCAAATTGCCAGCCAGGAGTGAGACTGTGTGAGCGTGTGTGAGTGTCTGTGTAAGTGTGTGCCCATTAATGGTCAGCAGAACGTTAATTTATGACAACCGAAATTGGAGCTATGGTTAGGTATAAATACAGCCAATGGCAATGATATTACTAATACGCCCCGGCTTACCGCCCAATTGGAGCTCAGCTGTTGACTGGATTTGCTCCCACTCGTTGGAGACGAAGCACTGATACATGCCGGGATCGTCCTTTTGCACCTTCTTAATGATCAGACGCGCAGGATCGGTGAGTATCTGCAGAGATGCGATATATGTATAGTGGAAGAGGCAGATAGTTGTGGCTGGGCCATGCTTGGGCACTCACCTCGACGCGATTGTCGCGCAGTATTGGCTTGCCATCGTGCAGCCAGTTGACATCGTGCACCGGATGGCCAGAGACAATGCATTGGAATTGTGCATCCTTGTCGACGTCCACGGTCTGCACCTGCGGCTGCAGGTGTGCGGTCAAGGGAGCTGTGCGATGTACATATGTGGTATAGATAATGCCAGGCTGACTGCACGCACACACACGCGGCTACATACCTGTCACGGTGAGAGACACCTGGATGGTCTCCTCGCCAGCCGTGTTATTGACCCAGCACAGATATTTGCCGCTGTCCTCGAGACGCGCCTGCAATGGCAATGCCATAAATCAATGGCAATCACAATATTTGGTTTTCATTTACAGCCAAAGAGAGCGAGAAAGAGAGTGAGAGAGAGAGAGAGAAAGAGTGGGGGAGAGGGAGATGGACATACCTTGGTTATTTTGAGCAGACCCGCGGATACAATCGTGATGCGTTCGCTCAGCTGCAGCGGCAGCAGCTGCTCGTTCTCCTCCTTGAACCAGCTGGAAAGAGACATAAAGAGAGAGGGAGAGAGGGAGAGAGAGAGCATTAAGCTAACGAGCCAAACAAAAGCTTAACAATTACAGTTCTCTCTTTATTTGATTAAACTTAAATATTTTTTCATTGCATTAACAGTAAACGACTTTAGCACACCCCTGCAACCCCCACGATTGCCGCTTGTTGAGCGAAAAAAAAAGAATAAAATTGCAACGCGAATATGCGTTCAATAATGTTCAATTGCATTGCAAAATGATAACCGCACTTCAATGTGCACGAGAGTGAGGGGTGAATGGGGAGAGGGTACTTTTGGAAGGGGTAGCGGCAAAAGCAGGAGTAGAGGTGCCAAATGGTAGGGGCTGGGAGAGATAGAGGCAGAGCAGGAGTCAGAGTTATAGAGAGAAAGAGAAAGAAGCATGGGAACGGTAGAGGCAGGGAGTAGAGCGGTAGAGACATGTAGGAGAGACGGAGGCAGAGTGTATGCTAGGGCCTGAGAGGTAGAGGCAGCGTAGGAGTCAGATATGGAGAGAGAAAGCTGCATAAAGTAGCTATATTTTATATGGAATACCAGCTGTTATTATCTAAAAGTTATTTTTATTTCATCTCTCTAACTTGATTTCAATTTTCCCCCAACCATTTCATGCCCTTAACATTTCATAATTAAAATATTCGCTAATTAGCTCCAGCGACTGCTTTACTATAACTTTACAACTTTTGTGCACCTGTCCCATCTGGCAAGGTACGCAGAAAAGGAAAACTAAGTTTGGTGAAGTGTCTTGAACCAAAGGTTTTCCTAGCAGTTGAAGTTGCGTTTTCTTAGCTTGAAAATACTTTGAAAGAGAAACGAAAAAACTAAACAAATTTGCTAAAAAATCCAACTTGCATGCTAAGATGTCAGTAGAGCTTCCTTAATCTGCTTCTGAGACTTTAGCTTGCACGTACTTTGCGAAATGCCACGCCTCCAGTGGGCGTATACTTAAGTTCCTAATACTTTTACTCCAATAATTATATAGAAATTCTTTAAGCTTAGACTCCATGTTCCATATTCCACATCTAGCGATAATACCTTGGCAAGAGCCAATGTGTATATCCATTTATAAATATATTGTATATATATATATGAATAGTTTTAATTTTCTTTTTATGTAGCATTGATATTGATCTTCATTTGCATGTTTCCATTTACAGATTTACACATCTGCAATTGCTGCAGCCGAGTGCGAATTCCCAAGGCCTTGCCGCGTTTCGCAATTAAAGAGCATTTCCTCTTCGTTGCACGTGGCTGTGGCAGCATCAATTCGAATTTATATTTTCGCAATTTATTTATGTGTAGTATAAAAATACTCATTCACGAAACTGAGATGAGTATATTGGTTTTGTGCAATGCCCGCCTTGCTGTCTGCCCGTCCGAGCTGAATGCTCGTTTAAATGAATATAGATTAATTAATAACTTTATTTGTATTTTATTTTTTTCAGAAGAGTATTGTTTTGCTTTGAGCTAAAAAGCAGAGTAAGGGCAAGCTGCAGTGCTCATCAAGAGTCGCTAGAGGTAAGTGTGAATCTATACCAAACCGTACCTCATTAACATAAAACAGTCTATGCGGTTCTCTAGCTGTTTATTGTATTCCAAACTATTTCTTATGTTTTCAGATTAAAGCGCCTCTTCAGCTAAGTGTGTGGAACATCATCATGCTCGATGGGATATTATTAAATATTAATATAAGATAGTGTTAAGTTGTCCTAACATCATATAATTTAAGAGAGATATATATAAATATGTGTATAAATAAATGTAAATAAAACATTAATGATCAACATAAATTTATAAATTAATGTAGATTTAAATCAGCAAAACTGTGTAAATTTGAGAGGCAATAAAGAATTTTAATCAATAAATATACAATCTGTTTTCTCATTTAATAGGGTTTCTTTACTGAGAATTCATATTCAAACATCAACGGCTAAAAATATGCCCCATAAAAATATAGTTGCATATCTTAGGGAGGCTCTTTTTGTGGCCGTTGGGGTCAAAATTTGAGCTGTTAATTTCAAAAGTACCAGGCGAACAAAAATGAATAGCAAAATGAAAAAGGTAACATTTTATTTAACAGATTAGTGTTATGTACTCTGTTAAATAGCAGAATGGTAACAGTACACTGTTAATGTTCTGTTAAAGACCGTTTTGCATCCTACCTCTCATAGCTGTGCGCCTGGTATATCACCAAAATACCTATAGAAATGCTGGAAGTACTAGGCGAACAGAAACGAGTAGTAGGGTGAAAAATGCTTACTAACAGTGTATTAGCAGTACACTGTTAGCGTACTTTTATTACTCTGTTAAATAGCAGCATGGTAACAGTGCACTGTTAATGTTATGTTAAAAGGCATTTTCACACCCTACTTCTCATTGCTGTGCGCCTGGTAGTTCACCAAAATAGCTGTAGAAGCTCTGCAACTACTAGGCGAGCAGAAATGTGTAGAAGGTCGGAAAGTGTTATTTAACAGTATATTAGCAGTACACTGTTACCGCACTTTTATTACTCTGTTAAATAGCAGCATGGTAACAGTACACTGTTAATGTACTGCTAACAAACATTTTAGCCCCTACTTCTCATTTCTGTTCCCCCCGTAGTTCACCAAAATGGCTGTAGAAATTCTGGAAGTACTAGGCGAACAGAAACGAGTAGTAGGGTGAAAAATGCTTACTAACAGTGTATTAGCAGTACACTGTTAGCGTACTTTTATTACTCTGTTAAATAGCAGCATGGTAACAGTGCACTGTTAATGTTATGTTAAAAGGCATTTTCACACCCTACTTCTCATTGCTGTGCGCCTGGTAGTTCACCAAAATAGCTGTAGAAGCTCTGCAACTACTAGGCGAGCAGAAATGTGTAGAAGGTCGGAAAGTGTTATTTAACAGTATATTAGCAGTACACTGTTACCGCACTTTTATTACTCTGTTAAATAACAGTATAGTATCAGTACACTGTTAATGTACTGCTACCAAACATTTTAACCTCTACTTCTCATTTCTGTTCCCCCAGTAGTTCACCAAAATGGCTGTAGAAATTCTGGAAGTACTAGGCGCACAGAACTGAGTAGTAGTGTGAAAAATGCTAGTTAACACTGTAATACTGTGACATTGCTGATTCACTGTTGTTTAACATAATCAACACTGTCAAAGGGCAGTGGGTTATAAAACACTGTTAGCTCTAATGTAATTTAATTTTTGTAGAACTCCCTACTTCTCATTTCTGTTCGCCTGTTACTTTACCAAAATTTTCGTTGAATTTTTGCTCTCAGTGGCAGCAGCAGCCGATCGCTGTAGAGATAAAAGTAAGAGGCGTGGCTGATAAACAAATCATGCATATTTTTAGCCATTTTTTTTTTATGACAGCTTCGCGCGTTTCAGAGCTCTTAGCTAAGTATGCCGGCACTAAGTACATTCATTATATGCTATGATCATTTTTATACTCTTTCACGAAAGTAAAAAGGGGTGTATTGGTTGCTGATAGCATTCTCTCTTGATTTGCACAAGAATAATATATGTGCATACCAATTGGGGGCGTGTCAAGAAGGAAAATGGGCTGTGAATGAGTACTCTGCAGTGGGTGATGCCCGACTGCAACGTTGCTGCTTGTTTGTTTTCAATTTTAATATCAATTGCGAAAATCAACAGTGCAACGCGCGTGCCATAATCTGCTTGATGTTGCAAGGACGCATGATTCATGACTCGTGCTGCCTGCTGCCCGCTGCCCGCTGCCCGATTCCTGCCCCATGCCCCATGCCCCATGCCGTTGCAGCCATGCAAATGCTGTTGCATTTTTAATCAAGTTATTGATTTTAATTTGGCTTTAATTGCACTTGAGTGCGCAGCGCATCTTATGGCATGTTGCAAGTGGCGGCGCGCAACGCATACTGCATACCGCGTGGCACGTTGCACGTTGCACATTGCAAATTGCTGCCTGCATATGTCTGCCTCCTGCTCGCTTAATTAAAAATCATGGCTCAAGTACGTCAAGCTTACGCAGCCAGCAGCAGAGGCGAGAAATCATTGCGATATAAAATTATATTCTGCATTTCTATGCGGCAATAGTTGAGGACGCGAACCGCAACGACAGCTTGCCACATGCCAAATGTTTTAACATTTATGAGCAGCGCCAAGCACCGGGACACCCAGGATACGGACGTTGCAGCAAAACAATGCAACATCAGCAGCAGCAGCAGCAGCAGCAACCGCAGAGCACAGAACAAAAGTCGACGCTGTTGTCGCCTCGTTGGCTACCAAATTGCGGCTGCTGCTTGATGTTGCTGCTTGATGTTGTTGCTGTTGTTGTCGTCTTGGTCTTGGTCGTTGCTCAGCGGGGCGACATCAAATAACAAACAAAGCAAGCAACCGCAAAGGCGTCCATTGACATGCCGAAGACGTGATACACTTTGAGCTGAAAGCATTTGAAGTATTCAAGTCTCACTTCTCACTTGAAAGTATTTGATGTATCTGTAGGAGTGTTAATAGATATAAGAATATATTGTCAACAGAGCTATAGATCTCGTTAGACACTGCAGGCAGAGCTCTTAAAATGGGTTCAGGCCTGAGTCATTATTAAACTTCTGCTTAAAGCTGAGAGATTTCAGCTCGCTTAACTTTTCTTCCCGCTCTAGTTGTTGATTCTAAGAGGCGTTGAGAAGAGACTCTTCCAGACTGAATCTCTGAGCTGTAGAGTATTTCTGGAATGCAGAGGGTGTTCTGATGGGTATGTACCAGGGGCACATACAGAGACATACAACTATGCTCATTGTTTATTCGAGCAGTATACTGAAATATACACCTCAGATACATACTGCTCAAGCACTCTCTGAATAGTATACTGACTCATACTCTTTATGATAAGACGTGCCCGACTCCCGATATCTCTCTGCCCTTCCTGACTCTCTGTTTATCTGCAGCAAGTCACAAACATCGCTCAGCTGTCAACGGCGCTGCTGATGGGAATACCAAGAAATATGCTTCGTCAGGCTAGTGAATTCGCTCTGATATATATAAGAAGAGCTGAAGGAATAGCCCAAAACCATATGTAAGGAGTCTCCTACACCATCTGAATATATACTACATAATCATATATGTAGTTAAGGCCTTTGACTGCGTTACCAATCAAACCAAAGGAGCTGCCTTTGTATTTGAGTGAACTGTCAATATGATTTCCGCTCCTATCATGCTCTCCATTCATGTCATGTCTAGTCAGTAGTCAGAGTATATATATATCTCTTCTATGCCCGCTAAGCAGAATGCCAGAATCCAACTACCCATAGCTGGGCTATGCATCAGTTCCGGACTGCAGCAGCAGCAGCAGCAGGAGAAGGAGCAGCAGCAGAGGCAGCAGTGGCAGCAGTGGCAGTGGCAGTGGCAACAGCGCATAGCGTAGCGTTGCTTGTCGCCATCCTTTATTCATGCAGCTGCTCGAAGGACAAGCGCAGCTACAATGACCCATTATCCTGCTACATTGCATCCTTGCGGCGAGCCGTAAAAAGCAATGCATGTTTTAGCAGGCAGCAGCACGCTGCCACGACGATGACGAGCATGATGAGCCAAGTGGCCAAGTGGCGAGTGGCAAGTGCTGTCCTGTCCTGCTCTGTGCCCGTGTCCTGCATGTCTGCTGTGTGTATCCTGTGTGCGGCTCGGTGATTACCTTTGACGAGCGATGCTCTTCAGCTTGAGCGGCGGCCGTTCAGCAAGCAATTTGCCATTTCGGCCCATAAACGCTGCTCATTTGATTGATTTGTGCTTGACACGAAAATAAAAGCGAGCACACATAAAATGTTGAAAAACTTCGAATTGGCCCCAGGGAAATCTCCATAACGCGACAATCAAGGAGTCAAGGAGTCAAGGAGTCCTGGCGTCTCCTGCCATCTTGGAAGATAAACGAGCGCCGCTTGAGCCGTGTTTTTGTGCCAAGACATTCAAGTGCGCCAATAAACAATATTTGATGTATAGTGTCAAAAGTCAAGCGAGACAGCTGAAAGCAGCTGAAGGTGGTGGGATCAGGTAAGAGCAGGTGAATGTAGCTGGCAGCAGACTTCAACTATTTTATAAGCAACAACATTTTCAATAAAGAGATTGCCAGACGAGGAATATATTTATGATTGAGCTAGTGCTGTGAGGGCTGGCAATAGCTAAGTTTAAATATAAGCTTATTTAATGTAAAATTTAATAAAAATAATATTTTATTAATTTAGTGTAATAAATTAAAATATTATATTAATGGAAATTGAGAGTTTCAATCATTCAAAGCTAAAATATGATATTGTATTAATGGAAATCGAGTCTTTCGGCTATTCAGCTGAGATCCATTAACTCGATTTCCTTCAAAGAATATATTGGAAATTATTATGAAATTAAAAATATATATATATATACATATATTCAAAGCAATCTTGAGCTATGCAGAATATGGAAAATATAAATCTCTTTGCCGCAGAATTTTCCATTGAACATATATCGCTTACCTATTTTTCCCTATCAAAATTCATCTATCTCTGCTCACTTTTATTAACTCATTCCTTTTATAGCCCCCACCAACACATATTGAAATCTATCTACATATTTTCCTGCGCCACACAACTGTATGAAAATTCAAAGTCTTTAACAATTTCCAAACTATATTTTACAGTCTATATATATCGCGCATTCCCCTGCCTAGCAATCTGTGACATGGCTCAATAAATATCTGCTGCTTGTCTTAACTATCTATAACATTTTACACACACACACACACTCACCGGTTGCAGCATTTCGTGTGAGCTTTCAAATTTGCTCGACATTTTTATATCTCAATTTTTTATTGCTTCGTCACTTTTTTTTATCGAGCTAAATATTTCACATTGTCATAAAATGCGCGAACCGCGAACTGCGCTGCCCCCAAGCGCAACCCGCCCCGCCCCGCCCCCTCCAGCAGCAGTCAAAAAAGTGCTACATGTGTGTGTGTGTGTGTGTGTGTGGGCTGTACTCACCGATAGGTTGGCACTGGATGTCCTTGAGCAATGCAGGGCAACGTTGTTTGGCCATTAAGGACGACATGCCGCATCGAATGCTTCTCGACGTTAATGCGCGGCTGTACCATGCCCTTGGGCTCGGTTACAATAATGCGGCCGGGATATGTCGAAATTTGTATTTCACCTGCAAAGAGCAACAGAAGGCGACAGGTAAGAGCTAAACAGCTACAACAATTTACACAAGTGCCAACTGGCAGCTGCTGGTTAGGAAATTGATGGACGCACATCAATTTATATACATATAAATGTGCGGGTGTGTGTGTGTGTGTGTGCGTGTGTATCAAATGTGTGTTTTTAATTAATTAAAAGTAAATGAAAGCAATCAAGTTGATGGCATGCGCCACAGGAGGTCAGCTGCAAGGCCGGAAGCTGCGCGTCGACGGCAGCAGGAAACACCTCAACTGCTTTATTATGCATGCGCATTATAATACCCTCTCCCTGGGGGCTACTTCGTCAAAGTGGTGTTCGCTGCACCTGCTCCTGCCTACAGTTTTTTATTATATAGCTGACAAAATGTTATTGAGTTTAAAGAGATTGAAAAAAATTTAAATGAGAGCCTATAATGAAGACAGCAGAAGAGCTCTTCCTGTAAGTCTTATACTTTTGATATCGTATACTAGTATACGATATATAGATATCGTATGCTCACTCTCAGCATGCCAAACTTCTATTTGCTCTTTAATTACAGGGTATATTGGCTTTATTTTATGTTGACTTCTTTTTTTTTTTTCTTTTATAGCCCACGCTCTATGACCTTCGCGGCCTTTAATGGCAGCCGCTCTAAATCATGTTGTCTCATTCGTTTCTATTTGTGTGTTAAGTCCGAAATGACATCTAATCCAGCAGCTCGTTCAGTGGGCCATTTGGCCAAACAAAATGTGTTTCAAATGGTCTCCCTGCCTCTCTATCTCTCTTTATACTTATAGCTATAGCTATTGCACTCTCTCTTGTTCTCTCCCTCTCTCTCTCCCTCTCGCTCTACAACTTGCCAATTTAATTTATAATTTCACTCGAACATCATCATCATCATCAGGTATAACCCTTCGGCTCTCCGTCCCTCTCCCCTCCGCCCTCCGCCCTCCGTCCGTCCGTTCGTCCTCTTCAGCTCCATTGCTCCATTGTGCATTAGCAGTTGTATTATTGTTAGCCGCCATTGTTGTGCCCGTTATTGTGCAAAATAAATGGATTTTTGGTTTAAATTGTAATTATGCGCTGCCAGCGCGCAGACAGACACGCCCACAGCGTACAGCCCACAGTCCACGCCCAGGCCAAACAAAAACTGTTGCCTACCTTTGTGCGCGCCAGGTAAAGCCAGCGCTTAAACTGAGCGTATCTCATGTGTGTGCATGTGTGTGTGTCTGCTTTGTTATCTCTGTGTACATATGTGTGTGTGTCGGTGTGTGTGTGTGCTTGTTAAATGAATTAGTTATGACCAACTATGCTGGCCAGCAGCCAGCAGGCAGAACTGTTTCATGTTACACTTTTAATGAGTGCACTCTAAGCAGTTTTTAATGTCCGACAGCCAACATGTGTGTGTGTGTGTGTGTATTGTATGTGTGTGTGTGTGTGCTCTGCACTTATATGAGCATTGTTTAGCCTTGATTGTGTGAAATGCACTAGTAATTAATATGCGCTGGCTTACTCACGCACACACACACACACACACACGCACGCACACACACACACAGACACTAAAGTGTGTTTGCGGCTTTTGCGGTTTTCCAATCAAAACTTAAAGCCAATTTGAGCTGCTATATAGCGGATTCTAAATTAATTACATACATTTTTAATTAGAGTGCTTAAGAAATCTGAAGAGCATATATATATAGAGAGAGAGAGAGCGAGAGAGTGTGAGAGAGAAAGAGCCTTGGCTTAGCTGAGAAAAAAGGAAACCAAAATTCAACTTGTAGAAACTTTTTGCAAAGGCGAACACAAAAGGCAGGCAGAGCGAGAAAGAGAGTGAGAGGGAGTGAGGGGCGAACGGACGTCGATTGGCTTGGGGTCTGCGTATTGTCGGGCATAAACTTTTATCGTATTGATTGATGATGTGTAATATGCGCACAAAGGCTAATAGAAATTCAGCTTAAGCGCATTTTCACACACAATAAACTTCAAATAAGCAGCAGCACAAGATATTTGCCAGACAACACAGCCAGAAAGGGATCTACACGAGTTCAATTGACTACAGCAGCGCTCTCTATCTCCCTCTCTCTCTCTCTCTCTCTCTCTTTCTGGTGCCCTTTGCTGGCGATTGAATGTCACACGTCATAAATTATGCACAACAAAACTGAAATTGACTTGGACAACGGCTATAAAATACAAAACTTCAGATTTCCACACACATCACACACACACACGCACGCACACACACATACATAAATAATAACAAATTGCTTTTGCTTGATAACAAACTTGGCGTAGAGCGATTCTAATGCTCTGTTAACAAAGGTATTTCATAAATATTTGACCAATTCGCTTTGCATTGAGGATGAGCGCAAAGCAAATATATATCTGCGATTATATAAGGACTAGCTAAAAGGATATTCCTGGAAATTCTGTATGGAATGACTCGAGAGAGACAGGATACTCCAACAAACCATTACAGATGGCATAGGTAGGCGCACAGCAGATGTACATAGCTGAGATAAGAAGTTGAGCTATCACTCAGCTCAATATGTGCATGGGATTGCCGGCAATAGTTGCTCTCATCTCTTTCAGTTGTCGAAATACTTGTTATCTCATTAGAATCTATTTGAACTACTATGGAACAACTAAATAGAGTACATAGCTCTAAAGATGGAGAATGAGATTCATATGCAAGCAAAGCCTGTCCAAAGATGTAAGAGCACAGGCCACAAATTTCCATGTCCTTTGTTATCAAATGCCACTAGATAAATGTTGTTAGATATTATTGTATACTATAAGCCCATATATAGCTGGCATAGTAAACAGAATGTGTAGCATTATGCTGCCCAAACAAAGCCCTGACTCCTAGCAGAACAAAGACTGTTCTAGTTTATTAGCTAACCCTGGAGCTAATACCTGTTCAGATAGAGCAGAGCACAAAGGGAGCGACCATAATCAAATACAAAGCCCTAGACGAATTGAAAATGTGCCTGGTCTAAAGCCAACTTTCACTCGGTTATGAATAAGGCAAGCAGGACGCAGCGTCCGTCAGGTTTCTCCTGGCTTCGAGTGAGCGAAAACTTGAGTTTAGCAATTTTCAAAAAAATATTCAACTTGGTTTGCATTTAAATTTAATACCCTGCGCCAGCCATAAGCCGGGTATAAGTTACACAGGCCACGCCCCGAGCTGCTAATTAATTCAACTTAATTATGTGCCAACAGAACTTGCCAACGGCAGGCAAAGAGAGAGAGAGAGGGAGAGAGAGAGGGGCAGAGTATGGGCCATGTTGGGCATGCAGTGAAGCATTGCTGACTGGACGATTAAGCTGCAAAATGTGATTATCACGTACCTGTCAGTCTATTTACAGTGCGGCATGTGTAGCTTTTGTACGCATCATTGGGCCCCGCATTATTTATGTACAATTCGCCGTTGGACAGGACCGTGTACTTGCCGCCGATGTCCGTGTTTGGATACAGATGCATGCCGGTGTCCTGCACCCAGGCGGTGACTAGCACAAACTCCGACATGTAGCTGGGCACCTGCACGAAGAGGGAGAAGGAGAAAGAGAGAGAGAGAGAGAGGGAGTAAGTAAACTTGTTCAAGTTAAGCAAATTTGATCAGCTCGAGTTTAATTTAATTTGCGTGCTTAATGCATTTTGCGGCCTTTCGCTTTCAGCCGCCCTCTGCTCCTGCTCGCTCACCTGGCATTTCAGCACAGCCGTGTTGCCCGTCATCACGTACTCGTCGTGCACCTGCACCGTATACTTCTGGTTGACAACTGTAAAGAAAAAACAAGCAAACAACAAAACAAATGTTGAAGAATATTTCTTTGGCTTTTAAAATTTCTGTATAAATAAATTGCGCATACGCCGCGTGCACACAGCATAAATCAAGCTAACAATTATGTTTCACTTTTTATTAGCCGGGCCAACGTTCATTTTTTGTTTTAATTTTTATGGCCAAAAGGCTTAGCCCCGTCACCACGTACATAAAAAAAGGTTCGCTCGCCCCGCCCAGTTTGACAGTGAAAATATGTCGCACATTAAACAGGCGACGACAACCACATCGAGACCTTTGTCAACCCCCACACACACACGCATACACGCACACCCCCACACACACACACTCACAGCCACACACTCGCACATGTACAGCAGATTGTGGCACTTGGCAAAAGTGTGACCGTTTGTCAGCACTTGGACCCCAACTCAGCTCAAAATTGGTTTCGCCAAATTTCGGCTAAAGTTTTTCCTTTTTTTCGTGTACCTTCTGTCAGGCCACAGCGCAAAATTAAGAGTGACAAGGATTCTAAAAACAAAGCCGAACCACTGCACAGTGGTGCACAAATTAATGAGATTTTGATGGGGCTAATTATGAAATTGGAGCTAAAATTTTAGCATTACCAGATAGCGGAATATGCTAAGTTATTGATGCAGTCGAGTCTCGATAACTTGTACCTCATTAAATTACAAAAATCGCGATAAATCGAAAAAAAAAATACTAAAACCTTGAAAAAAATTCGTTCTCGATAATTCTAGATAATTTGAATTTCTGTGAAATCGAGAAACAAAACTGATACCCTTGACATTTCGAATAATCGGGACTTGACTGTATAAGAATCGATATAATCTAATGTTTGATTATTTAAGAGCAGGAACAGCGATATATAAATATATAAATATATATATATATATATATATATATATATATTGTATATATATATATAGCTGTTATGATGATACGCTTAAAGCATCCAATGAAAGTATGGATTAAAATCGATATCAAGAGCTATCGAAAAAAATAATAAACTAGTACAGTGATCACATACTAAAAGTATTTATTTATTTTATTATAATTTTTTGTTTCATTTATATAATTTATGTCATATTAATTTACTTCTGCAGGTATATGATATGAGAAATATTTATTTGTATCTTGAAATATACAAATAAATATTTCGCATTTCATATAGCTGCAGAATCACAAACAGAAAGTCTTTTGCTTGTGTGGTTCATACGGAGGGACGGAGAGACTTGCCTCTACTCAGATGAACTCAAGTGCTTGTCCTGATCCTATAACCCATTTACACTGAACTTTCATTTTTAATTTATTCAGGTTATAGATCTTTAAGCACTTGAATTCCTTGATTCGCCAGAGCTCACATTGGGGCAGTAAACCGCTTTTCGCTTTCATTCCACTGTGCACAGCTGCTGGCACATGTTAACCACGAACTGCCACACCGTCGCCGTCCCTCCGCTTTCCCCTGCGCCCCCTTCCACACCTCGTCGCACTGGTGTTGGCATTTTGTAAATTAATTAAGATAGACAAAGGCAATTTTGTGCACGCGTCACTTGAAAAGTGTTTGGAAAATGCGATTCGCGCCTCAAATGCGAATAAGCAGCTTAAAGCAGAGCCTAAAAACTAACTGTATATAATCAAGTGTGTGTGCGTGTGTGTGTGAACTCTTTTTAAATGGCGCTCACGAATTATTTTTCTGTTCGCTTCACTTGAATATGCTAAAATTGGATAAAGTTTAATTTGAAAAGTTGTTGTTATTATTTTGGCAGTTGATTTTACTTTACTTCTACTTGGTTTCATTCTATTTTTATACTTTTATGTTTCGCTTTGTTTTCCATTCCATGGGCATGAAAAACTGGAAAAACTTTGTGACAACATTCCATTATAATTTCTATGACCAGCGCGACGGCAACGACGACGACGACGCCGACGGCGGCAGCGGCTGCTGCTGTTTGTCGTTGAGTTAATGCAACAATTTTTGTATTTCTATTGGGGGTTTAGGGCTTAGTGCACAAAGGGGGTATATTGGCTTTAGATACCTCATAAAAATGGGAGCTTAAATTTGAATGACATTATTTATCATGATTCAATTAAAGCAGCTGAATAAATGTCAATGCATTTCTCTAGTTAAAAACTGAAACTCAATGGGCTTCCAATTGGAAACACAGTTTAGGCTAATTAGATGCAATTGTCTAGCTCAGCATGCCGCCATCAGATCAGCTGAGTTCTCTAGCCAAAGCAAAAGTTGACCAGATGGCATCCAATTGGAATCATATTGGCTCCAATTGGATTAATTTATACAACTCAATATGTTGTCATCCAATAATCTTAGTTCGTGCCTCAACGAAGGCCAATATGAATTTCTCTAGTCAAAGCTGAAAATGCTACGTTACCCAATTAGACATTTGATTCCAATTAGAAAAACTATGAATGCCTTAATTGGAGAACTGAAGATATATTCAGCTCAATCTAAGCTTGCCTTTACATCACGAACGAGCATTAGTCAGTCGGCTAAGCCAACTCGAATGCTTTGGACTTTCTTCTCTTCAGATCTTCATTATTTGTATTGCTGTATAGGAGCACAGGGACTGGTCAGGGGTCAGGGGTCAGGGGTCAGCACAGCATTGCGCTTGAGTTGTTGCAGCTTGAGTTTTCATTTTTTCCCCCTTTGTTCAGATATATTTTTGTTTTTCTGCTGCATAGTTTTGGTAATTTAAGCAAAAGGCAAAGTTTTGTAAAAAAATTTTGTAGCTCTCAAGTTGCAGTCGGAGGAGGGCTGAGGCATGCGGGGCGTGGCATGTGACAACATTGTGCGGCAAAGGGAACAAGGACATGAGCAGGACAGCGCCGGCTGGGAATACTAAGCTAAGTTTATAGATGCCAGACAAAGTAACTGCAGAGGAAGGGGAAGAGGGAGAGAGAGAGGGAGAGGAAGTGGAAGAGTGCAGGCTGCTAGGCGGAAATTCATTTCCGTTTTGTTTTGTGCCCTTACTCTCACCCTCTGCTCCTCTCTCTCTCTCTGTCTCTCTCTCTCTCTCTCTCTCTCTCTCTCTCTCTCTCTCTCTCTCTCTCTCTCTCTCTTTCTCTGTGTATGTTTGTGGCAAACTTTTTGTTGCACAAATTTATGTTTATGATGTGCGCCGGCGGAAAGATGCTTTCGCTTGGCCGCTGCCAGTCTTGGGCTCTGATTTGCCGTTATTGTGCCGAGCGAACTATTAAATTGTCGTCTGCATGCTGAAGGGGCGTGGCTGGCACGGGATGCTCAGCGATGTGCATTCAACTAATTACGAACAAATTACGCAGGTTTCATGCAACAAGGGCAGGTGGCAGGGGGCAGGGGGCAGGGGGCAGGTGGCAGCAACTGCTGCGCCCCGGGCAACTTTGTGGCTCAATCAAAAAACTTTGAGACTCGGAGACAGCGTGACAATGTAAGCTGTGTGTGAGTCTCTCTATCTCTCTCTCTTTATCTCCCCCTCCCACTCTCCCTCTCTCCCTCTCCCTCTCTCTCTCTCTGTGTGTTATTGAAATGCAAAAGTGCAAGCCAAGTCGCAACTTTGTGAGGCAACATCATTCATCAGAGTCTCTGTCGACGTCGTGTGCTTGCCCTGTGGCTTTTGGCGGAATCAAAAGTTTTGCGCTCTGCTGCCAGCATTTGCCGAGCAGCCCTCGCTTATTCTTTTTCTACCCCATCCTGGACTAATTACACGCACTTAAGTCAACCAGCTTGAAGGCCACGCACGCTGCGAACTAAGCGCTGGCAATTAAATAACACAACTGCTAAATGCTGGACCACGAGACAACGACAACGACAACGACAACGAGGCGCCGATTGACAAAAAGTCAACTGCACACATTAGCTGGCAAATTAGTGGAGTGCCCCTCGCAGCGGGACTGCGACTGCGGCTGAAGCCCCTGGGCAACTTTTGCAAATTAGGCAAAACGTTTTGCGCCAAATCTACGCGCTGTCAAATTGCTCAAGCGTAAAGCGTTGCGGGCTACTCGGCTAGAAAAAGCGCAGGAGCACACAGCAAGAAAAACAACATTTTTCCACACACACACACACACACACACACACACACAGAGACAAGAAACAAACAAAGCGACCGCAAATAAAACAAAGTTGGAGCAGACAAAGTTGCAAAGGTGCGATTGATAGATACCCTGCAATGGTGCATGGACTACACTCAAGCTGATGTCTGATTCAGCTCTTAAGAAAACTCAATGACTCACTAAAAAAAATATTTAAGGATAATATATTGATTTTACCTATACAAAATTATTGATCTAAATACCTTTTAAGCATTGTGATTGTCAAATTGATTGATTGACAGTGGAGTCAGAGATCAATAGTTACTACAATACGACGTAAGAGCTGATCGAATATCGAATCAATGAAAAAAGTAAGAGATTTCTCAAGCTTAGTTGATGTAGTCTTTGCCGATTAAATAAGCATGTTTTAGGAATATCGATAAATATAGATTGTCGCTTGCACTATTGCTATCATATATACAAATTAGTTATCGATAACAGTCATTCACTATAACACTTAAAAGCTCTACTTTAAAAACTATTCTACTTTTAAATAATATCGATCAATATCGATTGTAGCTTACACTATCGCTATTATATACACCAATTGGTTATCGATAACAGCCATTCACTATAAGTTTGAAAAGCTCTACTCTACTTTTAAATAATATCGATTGTCGCTTACACTATCACTATCATATATACAAATTGGTTATCGATAACAGCAACTGCCTATCACATTTAAAAGCCCTACTGCATTTCTCTCTATACTTCGCCCTTGGCTATTTCTAAGGGGTATATGAGGCCCGCTACGTGGCGTATACGCAACGTTGTGCTGACTTGCTGAAAAATGACCGGCGGACGTTGAAACTTTGCATGTAGCAAGAGCTGCGTATCTAAAAACACACTTAGGCACAAATTTATATATATATATATATATGTGTGTGTGGGGAACCCTAGCATATCTAAGATCTTTGCGGTGGCGACTTTTCTATTTGTTTTTGCTTTCAACTGTTTTCTTTCCCATCTCTCTCGCCCATCTCTCACCCTCTCCCCCTCTCTCTATATATGTGTGTGTGTGTGTGTGCGCCTGTTAATTAAACGGAGCAGCCGCCGCAGCAGCCCCAAAAGTCAAGAGCCACGAGCTTTCCCTTTGAGAGTTTTATCTACGCAACTGGGCATTTTATATGGCATTCATAGGTTTTATGGCCAGTGCTAATTGTTGTTTTTGTCTGTGGCAGCATTCACTGTAGTTGCCTGAGGTGGCAGCAGTTGGAGCAGTTGAAGCAGTTGGAGGCCAAATGAGCCAGAAAATCTATGCGACAAGCGATGCCAATCAAAGTGATTGGCTTCGGCTGGGACAACGGGTGGAGTCGCCGGCTGGACTGCCTCATTAATGCACTTGAATAAAGCCCTCGCCAAGTGCCTAATGAATGAGAAAGTTTCGCAGCTACTTGAAACTGGACAAAAATTAAAGGAAACTAACAAAAATAGAGTAGTTTGACAAACTTTATTTGTGGTGAGGGGAGGAGGGGGGGGGGGGGTAAAGAGTTGCGGAAGTTGCGAGTTGAAAAGTTTTTGGTTGTTGTTATTTTTGTATTCATGGAACCAAAAAATTGTGCTTCGAGCTGCGCCAAATGCAATCTTTATGGGGACTTTTAATGTTTGAGTAAATTAAGAGGCACTTCTCTGCGATTCTCAGTAATTAGAGTAGAGTAGAGTAGAGAAGAAGGAGGGAAACAAAACGAGATGAGAAAATGAAGGTGGATTGAGAATATGAGGAGAAGCTGGGGAGAAACTGAGAAGAAGCTGAGGAATAGGAGCATGTGAGTGAGAAGACTAAGCAGACAAAAGAAAATTGCAAAGAAGTAGAGAGCAAAGGGAGAAGTGGAAGAAGGAAGGAGATAGAGATGTGGAAGAAGTAGAAGAAACAGAAAAAGTAGTGGAAAACGATTCAGAAGAAGAAAGACTATTAAAAAGAAAGACTATTTATATATGTATATATAATTTAAAGGAAAGAGGAAGCCCACAGGAGGAAAACGAATCAAATGGAAAGAGAAAATAAAATGAGATCGAAAGGGAAAAGAAATGAAAGAAAAGTCAAAGAAGAAGCAGAAGGAAAAGAATAATGGAAAGGAACAAACAAAAGAGATATGAAAAGCTGGATGAGAAGAGAAAAACAAACAAGCAAATTATAGTCAGGATTCACATAGACAATCTAATCAAACATTAGAAATATTCAGACTTTAGATTTCTTTAAAAAAAAAACATAATGATTTTTCGGAATGTGAGCGAAACGAGTTCAGGGAGTTACTAAAGCCCATTTGCCTCTCTGCCTGCGTCAACCCAGTTGCTGTTAAATGAAACTCACAGCGTGGCTAAGGCAACCAGCCGAAAGAGTCAGAGTCAAAGCCCGAGCCCGAGCCAAAGCCAAAGCTAGAGCCAGAGTCAGAGTCAATTCTCGCGCTTGGGCGCCAAATTAGCGCCGAGCTTAGGGCGGTTTATTGGTGGCGGTGGCTGTAATCCGGCAGAGCTCCCCCGCTCGCCCCCGCTCGCTCGCGCTCTTCATCCCGCCAACATTTTTGGCAGCAGTAATTAAAACTTGCGTTGGCTGCTGCTAGGCGCTGCGTTACCAAAACTTTGCAATTAAAGCGAAAGTTTGTGCGCTTTTCTTTTTTCAGTTTTTCATTTTAGGCACGCCCAGCTGCGTTGGCGCAAATCAACTGCCGCAGCGGCAACAGAATTATACGTAAATTAATTTAAAAATTTGTTAAATACACTCGCGAGCCACTTACCGCCGCGCACGTGCACCTCCCGGCTGAGCACGGTGCCGACCAGATTCCGTAGTTTGCATCTGAGGAGAGAAGGAACCAGATATGAAGTATACGCACTGTGCTGCGCGCGCTCAGACTCACCTGTAGACGGTGGCGTGCACCTCGTGGCGATACTTTTCGGCCGTGAACGGATAGAACATCATGCTGCCATTGGACAGCTGGAAGACCATGTCCTGCTGCGGCGGTATGGGCGTCCATTCCACCTAGCGACAAGGGGGCGTATTAGTTATTTTCTCTTACATTCATTTTTGGTCAGCCCTGTTCGGGCAGTCAATTAACTTGGAAATGAGCGCCAGACTAAAAGTGGCATGCATAATTAAGCAGGCGAAAGCGGACAGGAAAAGACCCCCTCCGAAAGTGCCACGCCCATTTTATACACTTAACACAAACCTCTGGTGGGGGACTGCCATGGCCGGAGCACTCTATGAGGCCGCCCGAATTGTTGGAGAACTCAACGCGATGCGGCGGCTCGTGCAGAAATATCGGTCCCTGCAGATCCAAGCCATGCACTGCAAAGCTGCTCTCAGCTGAAAAAGAGAGAGAGAGAGAGAGAGTGAGTGAGTGAGTGAGATGGAGTGAGTGAGGGAAATGTATTTAGTTTGGCCGGAACTCTGACTGCCGCGAGCGTGTAATGCACGAGCGGCCAAAGTTAATTTCAATTTCGTTTAAGCCGCAAACTTTTCTGGCCAAAATTAAGTGGCAGTGACGTAGGCGTTGGCTGACTGACTGAGGGCCCGGCCCTGCGGCTTGGCCTAAATTTTAATGAGCATCGCTCGTGGCCCACAACAAAGGCACGCACAAAGCGAAAAGACAATTGCTTTTTACCTGTGGCCATCGCTTTGCGGCTGCCTGGCCGCCCAGGTGTGACTGTGCAGGTGTGCCAGCATCTCGGCCAACTTGCGTCTTTCCTAATTGCTCTGACGCCGCCGGCGGCCAAAGCATTGCATAATTTTTTGGGGTGTGTTTTAAAGGCGCTTTCGATGCGGTTTTTATGTCATATTTATTATTCACTTGGTAGTCAAGGCAGTCAAGGGGGCGTGGCGCCTGCCTCTCCCCCTCTACGTCTGTGTGTGTGGGCGTGTGTCAAGCTATATTTGCATTGCGGCTCCCTGACAACTTGAGGCGTTGCCTCAGCAGTGCAGTGACCCGTTTTTATGCCACACAGCAACTCGTGTAGATAACACATACATTTTTTTCCTGCTTTTTTCACATTTTTATGCCCAGCAACTGCATGAATAATTTAATTATATTTAAAAAACTAAAAAAAAGCGAGTTTGGACTGGAGCGAGAAAATGCGACATTTATGAGCTGGTAAAATAATTTCGCTCGAATTTAGCCTTTTTTTGTGGAGAGGCCAAAGTCTGAATGAAATCAGAAATGTTGCTTTAAGTTGCGGAGTTTCCACAGCAACGAGAGTTTCCGTAAGCAACATCATTAGGATTAATTAGGGAGCATTGGAAATGGATTTTAGGCTGAATTATTTGCATACAAATTAATATAAAATTCACTGGAATCGCAGCGAAGTAGAATAGAAAATAACAATAATGAGGCGAAATATATTTTTAGTGTTGTCTAAGAGGAATTTCAATATCAAACAGAAGTAATTGAGGGCATTATTATAATGTCTAATCACCAAAATATATTTTCAATAATTAAGACAAAACTGTGAAGCTAAAAATGAAAATAGAATTGTAATTCACACAGGAATCGGAATTTCCAGCGAATTCGCTGGGAAATGGTAATTGAGAGCGCCACATGGAAGTGGAGCATTTTTGACAGCAGCCGCAAAGTATGCAGCACTAAATTTGTAAGCAATTTTCAGCCGCAGCAATAAAATGAAAAATTGTTTTGTCAAAAAAGCCATTGGCCAAGAGATAACGATAGAGCATTGGAGAGTGGACCACACACACACACACACACACACATAGACAGAGGCAAGCAGACTTCAGCCAAGTTGCCCCCAAAAGCCCAAGCTGAAAGTGTTGCAAACTTTGTGCCACTTTCGTTGCGGTACTCGCAGAGTGTGCCTCTGTATCTGTGTGTGTGTGTGTGTGTAGCTGTCAACTGCAATGCCCAGAGGAAATGCGGCGAGCTGGGCAAAAATTGTTAGTGAAAAGTATAAAGTGTTTGCCACAAGTTGATGCCACAGCGGGCCAGCACATTAAATTTGCAGTTTTAGTTTTTTAAGTCACTTACGATAAAGTTTTTCTTTTCAGCTAACGTCGCTGCCTCTGCCGCTGCCTCTGCCGCTGCTGCTGCTGTTGCAAGCAGAGATTTTGCCGTGGCGACGCAGTCTAATGAAAATGAAATTTGTCAGCTTAGGCGAGGCACTGAGGGCAGCTGTCGGCTAATTGAAGACGAACAACACAAACGCCAGTTGAAATGCGAGCCAAAGCCAGGTTATTTATGTGGCCAGCAAAGGGCGTGCTGCCAACAAAGCCAGCGCTCGGATGCGATCAAAACGTGCCCCATATAACAACTCCTCTCTGTGTGTGTCTGTGTGTGTGTGTGTGTGTGGCTGATGATGATGGTAATGTAGCTGACTATCTATGGCTTTGTGGCACGTCTGTCTTTGTATCTCTGTGTGTGTGGGTGTGTATGTGTGTGCGTGTGGCGTGTGGCACTGACAATGCGGCATAAACGCAACACAATGACCGTCTGATAAACTCGATAAGGTTTTGCTCGTGTCTGTCTCCCGTTCGCCCGCCCGCTCGCCCGCTCGCTCGCTCGTGTTGCATGTTGCGCGCGCCTTTGTTGCTGCCACTTTGCACATAATTGAATACACGCCGCACCATTTGTCAGCGTTGTCAATCAAAATGGCCAAAGGACTGTGAGGAACACCAGCAGCAGCAGCTGCCACGCCCACAGCTCAACTCAAATCAATTATATGAGAGGGATGCAAACAGAAAGAGAGAGGCATAGAGAGAGAGAAGGAGAATGAGATGCTATAAAAGTGCGAGCCTTGCCAGCGGCAGGCAGCGCTCATCATTATCACGGTTCATTAAAAGCTGCTGGACGGAAATGACTGGTAGCTAAAGAAGAGGAAGAAGAAGCAGCAGCAGCAGCAGCCGCTATGTAACGACAGACATCACTGCCAGACAAAATGCAAATGAGCAGCAGCAGCAGCAGCAGCAAATCGCAACCTGCCTCACTTCAGCTCAGCTTCCTCCCAGCAGCAGCAGGAGCAGGAGCAGCAGCAGGAGCAGCCCCATTTGCAAGATGCCCATTTAGATTTCTATTCAGGAATGCAGCCATTCCAAATGGCAGCGCTGCCTGAAAGAAAGTCGTTTCGTAATTAAGAAGAAAATCCCGGCAAGTGAAAACAAATGAAAGAAAAGAAAAAGAGCGAATGGAGCCATGTTTGGGGGTGTCAAATATGAAATGCTCAAGCGAGCAGTCTTAAAGGGAGGGTATATATGAAGATGCGGGTATACACGGGCATGTGAGGAGTGGATGGAGTTGGAAAGGATATTGGACTCACAGCTAAGTAGCTACTAGAGCTGAGTCAGCAGATTTCTAAAGCTGAGAAACTAGCTAATGGCAGACTTGATTACAAAATATTGCAGGAGGCTTTTATTTCTTAGCTTTATTTCCACACGTCTTGTCTGTTCAAAATCAAACCCAACTCAACTCAGCTTCAACTCAGCTCTGCCGATCTTTTTCTTTTTCTGCCATTACTCATCATGGCACTCCAAGTATCGACCTCCTCAGCCATCGATATGGTTAACTATCGATAGACGTGTATCTAACGATGGTTAACCATAGTGCTGGTCCCTCAAATCTTATACTGGCCTGCTACAATTCATAACTTAAAGTATTGTGGAATCCATTCTTGACATTTCTGCCAACGCTTATAAAAATTCAGGCCTTAAGTTCTTAACTTTCATAATTTAGTATCAAATCCATATACTACTAATCATACTACTTATACTTTCTGAATGCTGTGCCTCATTCTGAGTTATGTAGAGAAAGTAGAAGCATTAGTCTTGAAGAGCAACACGGGATAGTCTCTGCATATCATCATACAAAGCTCATTTCAGGGTATATACAATATTCAATTCAACAAAATGATATAACTTCCCCTTCCCATGCTCATTAAATTCGATTTACACTTCGCAATTGAGATTCTGAAAGTCGATTCAGCTATAGTGCGCTTCACGATCAACTCAAATTCCATCTAGTTATAGACATTTACTGTTTGTATTGCATTATAAATGCTGCTTAAATAAATTGGACTTTTCTTTCGCTTAGCATAATGCGCGCTGTAAGCGTATTTTAACGAGCCAGCGGGCACATCTTTAATTTCCAAGCAGAAGTCAGGAAAAACTGTAAATAATGAGAAGCGCTGGGGCTTCAAAGCTCAACTAAATCAAAAACGCTTAGGAGGCGCCCAACCAACAGCCAGCAGCAGCCACCCTTAGCCTTAGCCAGCAGCCCCTAAATCTTAAAGAAGTGCTTTATTCAACGTCGAGGGCAACGGCAACGGCAACGGCAACGGCAACGGCAACGGCAGAGAGCAATAAAAACCAGCGACAAGTTCGCAGCGTCAAAGTTTTTCCGTGCAGCATTTAAATGAAAACGCAATTTCCAGAGTCGAAAAAGTAAAGTGGAAGAGCAAGAAGAAGAAGAGCTGAGGAGAAAGAGCTAGAAGCAGCAGCAGCAGCAGCTGGAGCAGCAGGAGCAGGAGCAGCAGGAGTAGGAGCAGCAGGAGCAGGAGCAGGACACGTTAAAGCTGATTTGCATAAGGTACGTGAGTGAAAGATGTTCCAAGGCTTTTGTCTGCTGTCAAGGGGCCCAATAGGAAAAGGCAGTGTTGTCATTGGAGCGGTGCTGTGGCGGGGCGGGGCGCAACGGGGGAAATGGGGAAATGGCTTGACAAATATAAACAGCAGCCGAGGCGCAGCGTTGCCATTTGATTGAGGCACTGGCCCCAGCTCTTCACATTTAAAGCAGGCAACTGGCTGGCTAAGCAGCTAAAGCTGTAGCTAGGGCCGCAGGAGTCAGCCGCCTCGTCCTCGCCACGCCCATTGCCCACCGCCCAACGCCCACTCGTTTCAAGTGCACGCATTTTTCTGCTTAAAAGCCTCGACTAATGCGAGGCGTCTGCTTCAGTCGAGCGTTCCACTGCCTAAAGCCCCCCAGCCCCATGTCTCTGTCTCGACGCAACAGAGCGTAACGGTATTTGTATATACGTCTATGTGTGTGTGTGTGTGTGTCCATGTGTGTGTGTGTTAGCAAAGTGTATTTGCTTAGGTCATATCACGCACAGCGCTGCCAGCTCCTTGACTTTATTCAGCTGTTGCCGCTGCGACGCAAACACAGCCGCAGAAAACAGCTGAAAAGCTGAACGACTAGCAGTTACCCTGTACAAAAGTTCATAAGTATGGTTTACAGTTAATCTTAGTTTTTACTTTTGCTTGTGCTTTCTCTCTCAGTGCAGCATGCCCCATTGCTGTTGGCTATTTTTACAGGGTATACGCAGCGCATAGCTGCCGAGCCGCCTGCCTATTGTTGCGATTGAACGAAAACATTTTAATGCTACAGCTGAATTTTCGTTATTGACTAAGCGCAGCTGTTGTTGCTGCTGCTGCTGCATGTTGCTGTCGTGCTGTTGCCAGTTGTTGTTGTTGTTGTTGCTGCTTTGCGCACTAAAGTATGCAATTAAATTGCAGCTGCTAAAAGTGAAAAGCATTTCAATTAATGTTGCAGACATTGCTGCTCCAGCAGTTGTTGCTGTTGCTGTTGCTGTTGCAGCTGCAGTTGTTGCTGTTGCTTCACTAATGAGCGCCAACTTTAAAAGTCACAACGGCAACTGCAGACAAAGGCGCACGTCACGTTGAGCTGTGCCATAAAACTGAATTATTGAAAAGCACACGTTTCACTTTTGTTTGTGTTGTTGTTGTTGTTGTTGTTGTTGTTGTTGCAGCTCAAAGAAACGAAGTCAACAGCAGCAGCAGCAGCAACTGCAGCAGCAACAACAATGGCTATGCTTTGTATGCCTCGCGGCAACTCGAGGCGGCAGCATCATTTACAAGCCAACTTTCTGCCGCTGGCGTGCACCAACACTTCAGGGCACAAAGCAACAGCAGCAACAGCAACAGCAGCAACAGCAACAGCAGCAACAACAACTGGGCTCAAATGTTAATTGCAGTTTTTAAGCAGACGCTAGACATAATTAGAGCTGCTCATTGTCTAATGTATCAGGGCATTTAGCAACCGAATATGCAACACGCCCAAGCAGCAACACACACACACACACACACACACACACATGCAGCAGCAGCAACACCAAGTTCAACAACACGCCCTCGAAATGTGAATGACCTCGAATGTCACATTGCAACACACACACACACACACACACACACGCACAAGCTGAGGGCCAGTCGGTGGGCGTGGCATTTCGTCAGCAGCTCTACGGGCGGCGGCCAAGATTATGCAGCCTGGCTGACGGGCCTGAGCTGCCTTTGCTGTTTGATGAAACAAAAAGCGAGCAGCAATGGCAAAGCCAAGTAAACAGGCAGCAGGAGCAGCAGCAGCAGCAGCAGCAGCAAGAGCGCCTTTTGTGGCATTGTCCAAGGCAGCGACAGCATGCAGCGCATAATCAGCAACAAGCAGCAGCAACAGCAGCAGCAGCAGCACGAAGAAAAGCCTAGACTGTCACAGTCAGAGACCAGCAACAGCAGCCAAAGTATAGGAAATAAAGCGCCTGCGGCTGCCAGGCAAAGGACCTGAGAGCTGCGGCAGGGGGTGGGGAGGGGGACACACGCTGTCGTTGATCTTTTGCTGATAACTTTGGCTTTTTGAGTTGAGCGCAGAGCACAGCACAGCAAAAAGCAAGAAAACACGCAAAAACAAAAAGCCTGAAACAAAATGCCAACCAGGATATCAAGCAGAGCGAGAGGGGGAGTGGGGGAGAGAGGGAGAGAGGGAGAGAAAGGGCGAATGCCACACGCCCGGCTTGTTAGCCAAAGTGGACAAAGTGGCTGTGGAAATGTTGCAGGCGACAGCGCACAAAAGAGGAGCCAAAGAAGCGACACTAGCAGAAGCAGCAACAGCAACAACTACAGCAACTGCAACAACAACAACAACAACAACATGTAACTGGCTACGTAGCTTAATTATTTGTAGCGCAGCGGCCGCAACCAAAAAGTGTTGCATACTGCAAGGCGCCAGTCTGAGCTCAAGGATCAGTCAAACGGAAATTGAAAAGACGCAAGTGAGAGAGTGACAGGCAATCAGATACCCTGCATATCACATAAAGACAGATAGATATATTGAATACTTTTGCAGTCTGTCAATAAGGTAAATATAAATGTGAATCAAATAAAATATGCTAAAATATTTATGCAAATTTAGCTCGCAACTCTTCTCCCTTGTGGAGCCTGTTCGACTGAGTGCTTAAATGTCAGTCGCAAATCAAATTAATTTGATAGTCGCTCGCATATAAATGAACTATATATTCATATATTTCTCTAGTATATTTAATCCCACACTTTTCACAGAAATCAACAGCAAATAGTTTGGCAAATATTACATAAACAATGGATTTTGCATCGCTGAAATATAAAATCAAACTAGTATTTGCCCCCATAATATGTTGCATAATAAAATATAAATATAAATTTATATAAATATATATGGTAGTGGGAGGTCCGCTTAAAAAGTATTCAGTATATATGTATTTATTCATGAATATTTATCTAGATATTTCAAAAACTCTATCAATGTTTAGCTGTCGTAGTTTTGGTATTTTTCAGTTTTGGTATTTTTTATGATTTTTAATATATCATAAATTATACTTTAAATAAATATCAAAGCAGCAGTTAAAAGTCATAAAAAATACCAATATATAGGTAATATTTCTTTCCTTCGAATTAGGAATACTTTTGGAACATCCCACGCATATATGTATATATATAAATTTTCGTATATAAAAAAATAATATATATTTTTTTTCTTTATACATTTTTTCATAGAATTGTAGAATTGACAGCAATTGTTGCCAGCGATACAGAGAGGGGGAGTGGGGGAGAGATTGAATGGTGTCTGTGGAGCTTTGGGACTGTGGCAATTGGTACTCACCTCGTATGATGTACAGGATCAGGACAGCCTTAAAAAGGCCGTGTAAATCCATTTTTTATGAGCACTAATGCTTTCCATTACATTTTTTATGTGTGAATTTTAAACGCCAAATTTCGCTGATTTTATTTTTGCTGCTTTTTGTTATTCTGTTTGCTTTATTTTTGTTTTTCGTTTCGCGATTTTTGCGTTGTTTTGCTTTTGCTGTGTTTTCCTTTTGCCGCTTGTTTGTTTGTTTGTTTATTTAATTTCTCTCTGTTTTGTTTGGCGCACACATGAACAGATTTGCGCTGTGATTGAAGCGTTTTAATGGCTCCGCGTCTGATATCGTCCCTTTTCCTTCTTCCCGTTCCCTTTCCCGTTCCCGTTACCGTTTCCGTTCCGTTCCCGTTTCGTCTCTTTCGCTGTTTATTTACGTTTTACGCTCTGCGAAATTCATTAAAATCTTTAATGCGAGTGTTAGAAAATTCATTATTTATTTATGTGCTCGAAACAGCGCTCGGTGCGCTGAACTTTGAACCCATCTCGCGTTTTCTTCGGCCTTATGCAAATTCATTTTAAAGCTGCGCAGTTGAAGCATCAGCGTTGGATTTTTCTCATTTTCTTTTTTCGTTTTTCTTTTCTTTCGCAACGCTTGTGATTTCACTTGACGACAGTCAGTCAACTGTCAGCGCAGCTATTAATCATGTCACACACACACACACACACACACGCACACACGCAGAGGGGTCTGTAGATAGAGCGAGCTGCTTGCTCAGTGGATATAAACCACAGTTAATAGACGTGCTATAGCAGTCGTAGGTGAAGTAACACCATTTCTGGCCTGGCCTGGCCTCTCCCCACCCACTGCCCAAGGAAGCGTAGCGCCACTTCTGAGAGCATTGATAGAATACAATAGTCGTAACGGAGACCAACATTTGAGATCCGAGAGATCAAGCCAGCAGGAGCAGGGCATCTACATGATAGCCTGTAGCTGAAGACTACATGGATGCTTTCAGAGCTGGAGAAGCAACTCTGAAAGTAGTGGACACAAAGTGCGAACGATGCTAAGAGATGAGATGACAATAGAAGAAAGAAAGAAAGAGAGAGATAATCAATCGAGGTACGATCAGACTCCAACCTGAAAAGTCTTAAAGCAGCGCTAGGCGCTCCAATTTAATGCAGTTTGTTTTTGTTAAACACACACACACACACACACACACACACACCCTCTCTCTCTCTCTCTCTCTCTCTCTCTCTCTCTCGTACACACTCACGCACAAGGCACTCGAGTCCGTTGCAAAGATAAACGAGCCAAAGGCAGGCGCGTTCCCCTTGTCACGCATTCATATAGAACTTTTGCTTGGCTTTATCCCCAATGCTTTTGCCTAGTTTTTCCTTCATATTCCTACATTTTTTTTTTTTTTGTTCCATAGGCTGTTTCTGGTTGGCTTTTGCGGCCCCCATCGAGCGCATTTTTATGCGCGCCGGCAAAAATTATGCATCAGCGCGAAATTGGAGCGCCATAAGTTGAGCTCAAGTGAACAGATATCAGGCTTCTGAGCCGCCCTATATGACTTGCCTGCGTGCCCCCTCTGCCCCCTCTGGCCCCGCCTGCCCCTGTTCCAGCACTCCGCTCAACACGTCTGCCGCTTGACATGACATTAACTTGCCCCGTGACCAGTCCAAAGCGAATCCAGTGACTGCTCCCCAAGGTAAGATCCTGTATGCTGCGCACAGCTGAAAGCGGAAAGCTGAAGGAAATATTCGTTGCGAAAAACTATGCAAAGGGGACAGACAGTTTGATAAGGAGCAAGAATAAGACAAAATGACAAAAACAAGGAAGCAACAATGCGGCAATCGGCTGTACCCGACTGCGCCATACTCTGTCGACAGAGCAAACTGTCACTAGAAAGTCGCAATTTGTGAAGTGTGAATTGGATACAAACTGTGACTTGACAACTGTGATCCAAACTGTGACTAGTAAGCTAAGACTGTGACCTGCAACTGTGACTTTCAAAGTGTGACTTTTCAACAGTAACTTAAAAAAACTTTTATAATGTGATTTTCTATATTTTCATTTCTTACACCAGCTAACCAAATATACCCGTTTTCACTTTACCAACAGGGCATCGAATGATGACAACTCCAAAGTTAAACCAATACACCCGCTTAGCATTTCACACACAGTGTATAGAATAAGAGAAACAACACAGTAAAACTGTCAATAACGATAAACTGAACTCAACGACTGGAAATGGGACCCAAAACAACAACAACAAAAGCAACATTAACAACTACAAGAAGGAGAAGTAGAAGAAGAGCAACAGCAGCAACAGCAGCAGCAACTGTAGCAACAACAGCAACAACAGCAACAAAAGTGCCGTTTAAGCAACATGGAAATGATGCCCAGTGCGAATATCAACAGCAAACACGGTGCAAATCTTTTTGCTTTTCTCTCTCCACATATTTGGCTCTTTTTTTATGTTTCCCTATATACTTCATTTTCGTTTTTGTCTCCTTCTTTTTCGGTTTTTGGTGTGTAAAAATCATGACTTGGCAATTATGCGGCAAATGTGCGCACTGGGCATGCAGAGCGGCAAACAAAAGTCAGCCATAGATAGGGGAGAGAGGGAGAGAGAGAGAGAGAGCGCGAGGGAGTGGGAGAGAGCGAGAGAGGGGAGCTGCATAAATATTACGCATACGCCGCAGTGCACGGGCAACGTTTGCTAAATTGCTGGCAATTAGTTTCAAAGTGCGAGCACAACAAAACCAAGAAACAATGCAGAAAGAGAACAAAATAAAAGGCAACGAAAGCAACAAGAACAAAAAATGCGAAAATTATAGAAAATTGCAAGCCTAAGCAGATTTGCCTATGCAATTCGTGTGCAGTTAGGCGTGAAACAAGAGAGAGAGAGAGCGAATCAGAGAGGGAGTGAGGGGGAAAGGGAATGAAGGAGAGAGAGAGAGAGAGAGAGAGATGTGTAACTAAACAACTTTATGATGTTCCCAGAAAGCAATAACAGCTGCAATTCAACTTTTGAACTTCGGAAATATAAAAGAAGGAGCAAAAGTGGAGAAAATATATATATATATATATACAATATATTAGTCAAATAAAGGAGAGTGTGAGAGAGAGAGAGAATGACGAATAGCTTCCTAGAATTTGACTTTTATTTAGCCAAATTTCTGCTCACTTTTCCAGAGAAGCCAATGAATGTGCCTTAGGGTCTATCAAAATATGACTCCCACAGTTATATCAATGCTTGACAGATTCAATTTGATCTGAGTCATTCCAGAAAAAGATTTATTTCAATATTGGCCAAAAGTTTGCAACTGGAAAAATTATTCTAATCAGACTAAATCAAATATATATATAAACTTTAAAATTGCCTCAAGCTTTATAAATTAGAAAAGCCCAAAAAGTTTATATAAGTCAGCCTAACTTTAGCTTTGTTTAATTAATATCTACAACTCAATAAAACTGAAACTAAAAACGCTTCAATTCGCCTCAATTCCGTCAACTTTCAGGCCTCGCACAAACTTGGAATGCCCTTCAGGCTGAAAGCAATCGAAGACAATTTCCAGCTGTCCTCGCACTTAGCCATGAGAGGGAATTGGAAAATTTATTTCCGCTTACAAGTGAGCAATCATTTCTTCATTTTTTTCTTGCCACAATTTCGTCAGGCTGCAGGCTCAACTCCAACTCGGAATGACCAACGGCTGTAACATGAGACTCAGCAGTAGCTCGCATGGATTGATTGGAAGCCTTTGTAGGCTCAGGGCGTAAGTCTGCCTTTCGGCTGCTTGGGCTGACAAGTGAGCAGCTCTTATCGTTTTTATCGTTCCATCGTCGCTTGGCTTTGTAAGCGCTTCTTATGTCCATTTCACTTAGCTGCTGCCGGCCAAAGGCTTAAGCACTTTACAGTCAAGTTGGATATATTTATGTTACACTCAACGCTGCCTCCGCGCTGCGCCTCACTCTCTGACGGCCTGTCAGCGGCAATTTGTGCGCGCTGCCAAAATGGGAGCCTGCCTCAGACACATAGCGCTCGACTAGACAGGATGCACAAGACACACACGCAGACAGAGATAGAGAGCGGGGGAGAGGCGCACAGACATTGGCAATTTATGGACTTCGACACTTTGGGGAAAAATTGCTCAAGTTGGCGTCGCCTGTTGCCAAATACGTGATTTATTTTAATAGATAATCATTACGCCATCGATTCCGCTCATGTCCGAAACTCCATTTGCTCAGCTCGTGCCACACACACACACACACAGCTTGTTGCATGCCACACATGTAGTACGTGCGTCAATAAATCAAAAGCAAATGGCTTTCAGTTTATTGTTTTGCGCTGCAGCTTGAGGAAAAAACTTTAGAAATTGCCACGGCACATTGCGCATACGCCGCGTGGGCCATGGGCCTTAAAGGCTCCACAGCCGCATGCTGCATGCCGCATGCCGCATGCTGCATTCTGCATTCCGTTGCACGGTTCATTCACATGGCAGTCGCCACGCTGCACACGTATTTAAATTGTGCCATTATGCACTCGAAGCCACGGCCCAGCCCACGCCCATTCAGCTCCCAGAGTCCTCTCTCACTAATGACTTTTTATGGCAGCAGCAGCAGCAGCAGCGGCAGCAGCAGCAGCAGCAGCCGGTTGCTGTTGCCAGCGCAAAGGGTTGCCCGCAAAAAATCAATACAATGCATGGGCCAGCGTGTCCTGGACCAGGATAGAAACAATGCCCGGCTCGCTGCTGCCTGTCTGTTGCATTGTAACACTGGCCGACCGAGACGAGACGAGACGAGACCAGCGCAGACCAGACCGGATCGGAGTGGACGCACCGGACAGTCCGTCCCCGTGTCCGGCTGGCTGGCCACAAACAAATGCAGCCAACGAGACAAAACACTACAACAACAAAACTGAGAGGGGAGAAAAATAAAAACAAAAACAAAAACAAACACGGAAAACGAGGCGAAAGAAAATCAATAGACCAAATGAGTGCAAAAGCGAGAAATCTGCCAAAACCGAGAGCGACGACTGCAGCCAGAGCAGGAGGCAGCAACAACAACAACAACAACAACATGTACAGCAAAATATTATATGCATATACTATAACTATATATAAAGGGGAGCGAGAGAAAGAGGGAGAGAGCTAGAGAAAGAGATATAGACTGCCGAATATCCT